AGAAACGGTACATACATCTCACGAAAATCCAATTTTTAACATTGGTATTATTGGTATTGGTATTAAAGGGGGGCGCCCTCGCGGGCGTCCAAGCACTTAGGCCACCAGATGGGCCCGTTGTGCCCCCAGGCCGCTCTAGAGGGCGTCCAGAATGCCGCCCCTCCTGGAGAAGGTCAGCAACTCCTTTAGCCCAATACCGTGCACTGAGTCCGGATCGATCAGGGCCGTTCCAAAGACTCCCAATCTTGCCCATGTCAAGGCAGGGCACTCGGTGAGCAGATGATACGGGGTCTCCTCCCCTTCCATGCACCACCTATACTCCGGGTCGTCTCCAATTCCTAGCAAGGAAAGATGCCTCCTAAGCCTGCAATGTCCTGTGTAGGCCCCTGTTAGTGCTCTACACTCCCTTCTGGTCAGTCTAAGCAGCTCCCTGGTCCGAGGAAGGGCGGGCCCATCCATCATAAGCCTCGCCTGCCTCATTCCCGGAGCAACTCTCCAGCCCCCCGCGGCCCGGTCTCTCGCCCAGGCTTCGAGAGCTCCCCGCCTCACACACGGGGCGATCCCCAAGCGGGGCTCTGGCCCTATATGCCTATGCGAGGAGCCCTCCCTGGCTAAGGCGTCTGCTGCCTCATTGCCCCGGATACCGGTGTGACCCGGGACCCAGACCAACGTGACCTTTCTCTCCTCAGTACCCCTTTGCACTCCTTTATCAACAAGGAGCGCGTACGCACTGACTTCAGCGCCATGAGTGCAGCCCTACTATCCGAGCAGAAGAAGACTCTCCTGCTTCCGTAGTTGAGCCGAAGCACCTCTCTGGCCGCCATCAATAAAGCGAAAATTTCCGCCTGAAACACAGTGCAGTACTGACCCAGAGGGACCGACAAGCTTGATCCCGTTGTCTCGCAGTACGCTCCAGCTCCGGTCAGATCTCCCATTCTGGACCCGTCCGTGTACCGGACAAATCCATCCCAGGAGCCGACTCTGCCCTCTCTCCAATCTAATTTTAACATTTCCTTTACAGAAAGAATATTGAATATTTATAAAAATCAAATAATTGTAACCGAAGGAGATATTAATCGAATCCAATGCCAATTTTCAAATATTTTCAATAACACTAGAATTTTAGTAGTATTTCCAAAACCTGAGCCTATCCCACATATAATTAAATTCTTAAAGGAATTTATAGACCCCAAAAATCTTTACGCAATTTATTTTAGCACCAAAAAACTAGTTCAAACTTTTACTGTAACACTACAAAAAATATTTGTAAATTCTTCCTACAGGTTTGTTCAATGTTCAAAATTTTTAGAGGATATTGAATCCCAGGACGAACAACAAGAAAAATTAAAAATTTACCATACTACAAAAACTTGCCATAGGGGCATCTCTGAAATGAAAATAGCATTGACCACTAGATTCTATTGGCCTAAAACGACCGACGATATCGAACGGTTTGTAAATATTTGTGATACTTGCCAAAAAAACAAATACGACAGAAATCCCCCTGTCATTAAATTTAGTCTAACACCTATGACATCTGAACCATTCGAACAAATTCATATTGGCTCTTTTAAAATCGACAACCAAATATTTTTAACCATTCTTGACGCCTTTTCTAGATATGGTCAAGCGTATTCTCTTAAAAGTTTGACAGGAACAGCTGTCATTGATTGCCTCCTAACTTTTGTATCACACCATGGTTTACCTTTAAAAATCATGTCAGACCGTGGAACGGAGTTTAAAAATAAAGACCTAGAGGACTTGCAAATTGTATAAAATTGAGTTGCATTATACCACTTCAAAGAACAGTAACTCTAACTCCCCCACGGAACGTTTTCATTCTTCTATAATTGAAGCATATCAAGGTCTTAAAGAGGAACATAAACAATACAACCCGGAACAAATCGTAAAACGCGCTTTATTAGGATATAATAACTCCATACACAATGTCACGAAATTTACACCTTTTGAAATAATCAAAGGTCATATAAATGACACCAATCCTTTTGACATTAGTGACCACGTGATAATTTCCGACTATGTTCAAAAACACAAAGAGAGTTCGAAAAAGGTTTACCAATTAATTTCGGAAAATAATCAAAAAACAAAAGAAAAAATAATTGAAAAAAGAAACAAAGAACGCGAGGACCCCCGAATTTCGATATTGACGAACCGATCTAAATTCGTACTAAGTTACGTAATAAAGCTAAATTTAAGAAAACTACTCTAAAAAATCAAACAACCTATAAAATTAAAACCAATTCGGGAACGTATCATAAAAATTCTGCCAAACGACCAAAATCTAAACAAAAATTAAATTCGCAGGAAAATGAACCTCACGAGGATCCTAGTGGCATCGGCGTTAGCAACCCTAGCCCTTCGACGAGTAAACAGTGAAGATATCAAACTTTAATGTAATTATGAAACAAATTTCTGAAGAACACCCAAATTACCCTAAGTCCTATCACGGTCTTGCGGAAAGCCTATTATTAAGAATAGATTACCTAACGAATTTAGTACAAAATAAATTAAAAAACCTTCAACCTCATTATAAATCAAAAAGAGGACTGATTAATGTAGTAGGTAAAGTACAGAAATGGCTTTTCGGCACTCTTGATTCGGATGATGCAAAAAAGTATGACGATGCTATCGCTAACTTGCGGAAAAATCAGAAAAATGTATTGAAAACTTTAAACTCTCAAATATCTTTATCAAAACGGGTGATTGATAATTATAACTTAACGATTTCGACTCTATTTCGTAATCAAAACCAACTAGAGAAAACAATGTATATATTAAAAGGATCTGTTGATAACACGATCAATAATCTCCAGTTATATATAACCTTTCAAAGTGTTTTATCCCAAATTATACTTGACTGTCAAAACTTGATAAATTTTCTGTATAATTTAGAGAACGCAATTGTGTTTGCACACACTAATGCTTTACACAATTCGATAGTTTCTGTTTTGTAAGTTCAGAAAATGATCGATTATTTAAAATCAATTTATGATATAAAAGAATTACCAAAATTTAATAACACGTTATCTTATTACCAATTTTTAGGGACTCAAGTAACATTTACAGAGAGTAAAATAATTTTTCCAAATACCCGTATGTCGCACGAGAAAAAGAAGATATGCATTTCAAAGAGTCCTGCTGTCCCGAAATCGAGCATACTTTCTACTGCCATGAAAACTACAACTCGAAGGATGAATGCACGATTCAATTGCTTGAAAATCAGCCTATAAGCAACTGTCGAAAACACCATATCGAATTATTACAACCTCTTGCAGGGCAGGCAACGCAAGAAAAAGTGCTTGTGTTACCTGTTAAAAATACATTGGTATTTGCTAAGTGTAAGATCGATATTCCAACACTTATAGAAATTCCAGCTGCTTGCCAAATTACCTTGGGCAAGAAAAATTATTACAACAATGTCAAAATTATGAAAGGAAAGCCTTTGCTTTTACCTAAGTCTATATAGAAGAATTGAAACCAATTATGTCACAGAGATTAGCGAACATCAGTCAAATTAACTTACAATACCTATATCAATTAAAATAGATAACAAATGAACTACAACCGATTGAAGAAATTGGCCAGCCTATGTCTACAAGTTTAATAACTAATATTATTGTTATTATATTTGTTCTAGCGGTCATTGCAGCCCTAATGATCGTTTTAAGAAAGAAACTTCTACCGAAATGTCAACATAATCAATCCGAACCAAATAAATCCAATCAGCCGGAGCAAACTCATTCCATTATGTTTGCTTCTTGAGGACAGAGGAGTAATGTACAATGATTTCTACGTAATACCGGACACCGTAAGATCTACGATGTCAGCATTTGGCCACGATGGTGCTATGAAGAGACCGTGAGATTCACATTGTCAGCTTTTCGGATGCGAACCTATAAAGTCTTAGTTTTAAGTAATATAATTATTCTTGTTGTAACTGCTGCAGCAGAAACTTTAATTTTCGATTGTATTTTGAAAATAAAGTTTTTAAAAAGTCATCTCGTCTTCGCTTGAACATAATTACAGCGAAGCGAGTGTTTAATAAACGAGTGACATAAAAAGTTTACCAAATGTAGTACAACCGTTAGTTTTTGGGTACATTTTTGCAAAACAACATGAATACATTCACTGACATGATCGTCAGAATCGACAAATTTCAAAATTCAAGCAGTGTGGTAAAATCTCCGAAATCATCCGATTGCTCCCAAACTCGTGCGGTAATATCCCGGAAATGTTCGAACATTTTCTTTAGCTGTTGGACAGTTCAAGTCTTGGCGTTAATCTTAATACTGGGGCAGTCAATTGTTGCTTTCTGTTAAAATAGTTCGGTTGTTTTCTTGTATTTATATTAGGTAGAATTTCCTTTAATTTCACATTGCCTTGGTTCAATTCATATTGCCAGAGTTCTACTATTTGTTTTTTCTTTTTCAGGTGACTTCCCAGTTCAAATTTTTGCTGCTTTGTCCGCTAGTCCATTTTTTTTATAGCAGATTAGGCAAATGCTTTTAATAAACTGTCCGAGCCGATCGATTTTTGCCAATCTGTTTTGAGTTCGAACTATTTGGGTATCTATTCTATGAGAGTATCAAGTCTCTGAACAACTGCTTGAGTCATCTCTGTTTGTATTTGAGTATTCCACGTGCAGCCGGGTTATTCCAAATATCTATTGCAATTTGTAACAATTCTTATAGCAATTGTTATAATTGCTATATTACAATATCTATTGGATCTACAAAGCTATATGTGTCAGACCCAAAACAAATTGAATTAATTAATTAAACCAAAAAAAACTAATCATACCAGAACATTCTGGCTTCTGTAAACAACAACATTTTGAAAACGGTTCTAGATGGCGTTCATCCTAAGCTTTCAACATGCCATCCACCTTAAAACACACTGTGCACATGTTTAAAATCGGCAATAAAAAATGAGGCAGCTCATTTAGCTAAAAATTTCTTGTTAAATCGAAATTGTTTCAGAGTGCGGCAGGCATAACTGGTTCACCAAAGCGGAAGTTAAACGTGTTTACGTCACCAAAGGGTTGAACTTGGGGCTCGAGGAAAGAGGTGTCGCGGTTTACAAAATAAACGAAATTGGGATTGATCTTAAAAACATAAACGACGTAAGAAATGAACCAATATTCGACTTGCTTAATAGTCGTCAATTGATTTTAGGAGTTATTTTTCGTACAGCTCGATACCCGAAAAGGTGGAGTGAACATAGTGTATATTGTTCACGAAATTTTGACCCAGTTGGTCGATCCTCCTTTAAAATTTACCAAGGATTGGGGCGATTTAACCAAAAGTGCATTGGGACGTAACCAAAAGCTCAATTTTGTTGGCGATTTCAGTTCGTTCCTCGCTTTTCTCGAAAGTAAGTTTTAAAAATTTCTCATTGATTGAATAACACCCTTTGTATTATTTGACATTCTTACACGTCCTTTTTTACTGCTTTCAAATATGCAATTTCATCTATTCTCTTTATAAATATATATTTTTGCATTTTCAAAAAAACTTTTAAAGCATTATTTCATGATGATATTTGCTCGTAAACTCAGAATAGCAGCAAGAACATCATATAAGAACATGCGCAACGACATGCACAACAGAACTTTAGGAATTCAGCATATTGATAAACGGAATGAAATTATGCACCTTCATTGAAACAAATTCAACGTGGCCTTAGAAGTTGAAGATATGGGTGGAGAGGGTCACGAAAAAAAAAGGAGGTACTATATAAAGAAATAAGCATTAATATTTTGACCTCGAAAAAAAAACTTCATTAGTGGTTTGTTGTAAATATGACATTGACATGCTGCGAATAAAAGGAGGGTCATGCAGCTGATACCCAATGTTATGGGAATGCTTAAAGAAGAAAACTCGGAGAAGAGTTAAACTAAAACAATATTAAGTGAAAACCAAACATAAAAAATACATTTAAAATCATTTTTGAAAAAGTAGGAAAGAGTATTGCCAGTGTTAAATTAATAAATAATAATTTTCTGAATTCATAAATACAATATTACTTTTTTTTTCAAAATATGGTTTCTTAGTTTTTTCTTTTTCTTTTGAATTAAGTAACTGTAACTGTAATAGCAATTAAAGCCAAATAGAAAAAACGAAAAAATATTTGTGGTAACCTTATCTTCTGTGTTTCGTTATAAATTTTTATTCGTAAATCATTACTAAAAAAAATGAAATGAAACATATCACCAATATGTTGAGTTTGGGGTTCTTTAAACTTTAATTTGTTTATTATTTAAAAATGATTTAACTAAATGAAAGTGCTCAAACCTGAAAATTTTAGAAACATACTGTGATTTCTAAAAGAATTTACGGAAGCACACGGAATAGACGTTTTAGAGATCATTAAGATATACAATTATTTTTTGTACATCTATTTTGTATATCTTAAATTAAGGAGCCTACGTATTAGTAGTATAGATCAGTAAGATAGTAAGCAAATAGTTCAGAGATTTCTCTACTTGACTTTTTTTGAAACTATCTAAGGAAACAAAAATTACCACTACTAAATAGATCTCACTCTAGTTACGGAACAATTTATATAGTAAAAAAAACAGCATTGAAAGGTTTGTATATCTTAAATTAAGTACACGTAGAAAAGAAAAACCCACTTAAATACTTTTCGAAGAAAATATTTTCATTAGAAAACAACCACTGCTACTATTTTGACGGCTTTTTAAAGATTTTAAAGAAATTTTGAATCCATTTACTTTAAAAAAGGATCTGGAAAACTATAATATAACATACAGGGTATTAAAAAAATACATTTTTTACACATTCACCCATTTTTTCTAAATACGTTCGTCCAAATATTCACAAAAACATAAACCTTCTGTATTTGAATTTTATACTATGATTATCACACCTATTTCGGATGTAATTTTTTACGGATATATGAATAAATCCTACAATGAAGTAACAATGTGTGATTAATATTTTTCTGCTCCTAGTAGTTTTTAGCTCTTTAGCCATAATGGCACAAAATAACCAAATATTTTTCGTTATCAACTTTTGCGGCCCCTATGAAATAGTTTCTTGATATGTTATTATTTTTTGAAGAACTCCTTTGTAAAGTAGTAGTGCTATCGTTCAAAACGAAGGATATTGACTCAACATGTTTCAAAGTAGAAAATAGATTTAACATAACTATTTTAAACAAACTTTTTAAAATTTTGAAAGAATCTCAGATTACCTAAATTATACAATCTTAACAAAACAACAACAACTAAGCACCAAATTGTTCAACTCTTGAGTTATTCGCGAGCGTGGAACTTTACATAAAAAAAATCTATTCCGAATAAGGAAAACCGAACGATTTATGGAAAGACAAACGATAGGAATTTCCCACGAAGACCATAAAACCAATGATGGGTAAGAAATAGAACCAGAGCTCTGGATGCTATTGAGCGAGCAGCAAGACCTGAATGGAGACGGGCAGACCACAACGAACCCGTTGAGGAAAGTAGATGGAGTGGGGAAATCGAAAATTGGCAACCCTAGGACAAAGTGACGAAGTATGCAGAGCGAACGTAAAAAAGAAAACTCACTATACAGCAATACTGAAGGTAATTGGGAGAGGTCTATATTCCGAGATGGTCTGAGTAGAAAAAATGCTAAATGATGAATGATGACGATAATGTTAAGTTGCAATTTGCTTAGCAACGACAAATGTTTTTTTTTTAATGAAACACTATGTCTAGCAATAGGATTTTTCTTCTTCTTCTTGAGAATAAAATATAACGGTGTTTCTAAATTTAATATTTAACGAAACAACAACGCACTGATACTGTTCAGTTTCCGTGAAAAAAGAAAACCCACAAAAGAGGACGTATTCCTACCAAATTAATATGCTTTCGAATAATTACTCAGGTCAACAAAGAGTTGGTGATAAGGTATTTTTCATATTTCATACATTGCATGTCTTGAAGGAAGCCTGTTTATCATGTAATTGCGATTGTTAAAATTTTGTTTTAAAATGCCAAGTCAAAATATTCCAGATACGTTTTGGTTAGTTAGTTAAACACGCCTTGAGTGCCACATATTGTTTGTAAGGTATTTGAAGAAGGTTTAAGACATTGGAATATCCCTAGCTTTTGGAATACCTATGATATGGAGAGAGCAAACAAATGACCATGATGGCTGCTATTTCTGCATGTGCAATATATTACTAAAAATTTGAAAAAAAAATGAAAGAAGACACCATCAGTTTTTCTCAATCTGAAATAGTTATGTTGGTGATATGTGGAGTCATTCTCAGCAACCACAGTTATTTTCACAATCAGAACTTAATAACTTAGTGAGAGACTTAAGTTTATGTAAAGATCTTTCCGAAATTTTAGTATCTAGACTTCGAAATAAACATTTACTGGCAAAGGACGTAACAATCTTATATTTCAGGAAACGAGACAGGATTTATAGGCTATTTTAAACGGTGGTTCGCTTGTTTCTGGCACCGATATGCCTAATCTAATAAAGAAATTTGGTAAAGACTAAAATTCTGAGGAGTGGAGGCTTTTTCTTGATTAATGCAAGAGAAGCCTTAAAGCTGTTCTTTTGCATAACGGAAATGTTCTGTACCAGCTGCTCATTCTATGTAAAAGAAAGGATGCTACGAAAATCTGAAACTACTGCTTGAGACAATCAAATACAAAGACTATTGTGGAGGCTTAAAAATTGTGGGACTTCTACCAGGTCAGCCGTCAGGATATATGAAGTACCCCTGTTTCTTACGAACCAACAAATATCCAAACTACAAAGACATGTTAGAGAAATTTAGGAAAATGTGATGCAATATGAGTCTAAAACTACACATAATCTACACATCTGGACTACTTTGATGAAAATCTTGGGGCGGTGAGTGAGGAGCAAGGGGAGAGATTCCACCAAGACATAAACAAAATGAAACGCAGATGTCAAGGTCTATGGACCGTTGCAATGATGGCAGGCTGGTCACTAAAATGCGACAATCCTGTCATGAAATATACAAGAAAATCCGCCAAACTGAGTTTTTTCGCCAAGAGATTTTCCAAAAATAAATGTGCTTGACTGTTACTTGAGACTTTGTTATCTAATTGCATTAATAAAAATAAATAGCCTGAATTTTCATTAATTAATTCTTCTAATGTTAATAAAAAACTTTATGTGAAGAGCAAAATGCTTATCAGGTTTAAATTTAGGAGGCCTAAATTATACAGAATCAAATGTGAGTTCCAAATCAACTTTCAAACGTTTAAAAATTGTTCCCTGCATTACTTTAACTAGTGTCATATTACTGGTAATACAAATTTACTACTGCAGGTAGTAGCTCTTCTTATTACAGTCGTTAGGCCAAAACTATTTAGCTGTGAAAACAATCTGAAACATTCTCCGAAAATGTTGAACCCCCTGGTCCATTTGAAATATTCTCTTTATTATAGAGACCAAAGTGGATTTGGAAAACATTGTCCATTTCGCCATCGACAATGATATTCTCCAGGAAATATCCGAGGATAATATGTCCAAAGCATTTTTTAACGTCGCACTGATTCAAAAAGTTGAATCCGTAGTCCGATGCTGGCAGAAGCTCATTGAAAGGGTAAGGAATGGACACTCCCCGATTGGGGTATTATTCGGCACCAGTTGACATTTTGTCAATTGATCGATGAAGTTGATCAATTGGTAAACTTAAAAATACATTTGAATATCATAAGTTTGCGGATGGAAATATATAGCACATGAAAGTATATTTTTTAAGTATCCTTTTCAAATATTTTTTGCGAAAAAAAGGTGGCATTAAAATTGAAAAACAATTTCGGTATCATATGAGCATTACCTAGAGGAGTATTCCATTTAAAAATAAGTATTCCTATATTGTCTTCCCTGGTCTCGGTTTTCTTTTAACTTATTGCACGCATTTTTACAGAACGTTTTTTAGTCAAATTCAGTGGTATTAGGCAGTTTCAATATATATGTCATACGTTATATATATATATATATATATATATATATATATATATATATATATATATTTTTTTTTTTTTTTCAAGTATTGATTCACGGATGGAAAAATATTCCGGGATATCATCCGTTCGCTTGTTGAACTCCAACTGGAATCCTGCAGACGTTTCGCCAAAATCTCACTTGGCATCTTCAATGCTCGCGCTCCGAAAACATATATATATATATATATATATATATATATATATATATATATATATATATATATATATATATATATATATGCAAGGGGTTATGGTTATGGAACTGGCAAAATTAGAATACTACATTTTTTATTTGACGTTTCGGTCCAAATCTATAAATAATAAAATAATCTAAAAATTACATTTAACAAAGAGATCTGTACACAATATAGGATAAATCTTACCTAGACAGTTAGTTAGTGTATTGTAAGAGAAATCTTAGAAATGATTGAAATTCAAAAAAAACAAAAATGCTATAAACGCCAAGACAGACACCAACAATCTTAGTAAATTATATTGCAGCAACCTTTAATAATAATAATAATAATAATAATAATAATAATAATAATAATAAATTTCCTAGTCCAACTCAGTGCATTCAAATATCGCACCATTTTATATCGTTCAGTGCGAAACGGAAACATTGGAAACATTTCGCGGTGTGTCGTCTCAGTCGAAAGGGGAAAAAAACAATGTTCAAAATTCGGGAGAGCGATTTATCACACAGAAAGCGAACTAAAGTTTTATTTGGACTAGCCGATACGAAGGCTGAAATAATTAAGAGCAATTTTACGATATGACAATCGAATAAATAGGGCTCTCGATGCGGTGTCAGCGATGCATTATCTTCGCTTAGCTTTGGGCTTCGTCTGCACTTCGGGGCATATAACTACTCCCTCGAAAATAACAGAGCGTTTTTTCGAAGAAGCTTCAAAATTTTCTTCTTGGCAGGTTTCCTTTTTTTATGCGTTTTTCTTCAGTTCTCGTACCTTTTCCAAGAAAAGCTTCTTAATGATGAAAACTAAAATTAGAACCATGAATATTCCAGAAACAATAACAATTATTTGGAACGTATTTGTTTCTTCTTTCACTGGTTCCATGGGAGTTATTTTTTCTGCTAAGTCTCTTAGTTGGTATATTTCGTCAATATTTATTTTCTTTCTTCTTTACAAAACTAGATTTCTTCGATGACGGGACATCTTTCTGCGGTGAATTCTTCTCAGCTTGTGCCATATAAGAGTACTGGGGTATAAAACTTAATTGATTTTGGATTATTGGGAAAATATGGTAAAAGGAAAATATTTCGGATCTTAAAATTGGTACATAGACTGCAAAGATCACTTTCGAGTCAACAAAATTTACCTGAGTACCCAAAATTTAATAAGAAGATAAAATGCTTTAAAATTGTGGAATTTGATTTTCTTTATATATTGACCTAGATATTTAAGCATTTTATTCAACTCTGAAATCGGTAAAATAATATTATGAAGAGCATTAACTTTTGCAAACATAATAGCGTCTTCTAGGTTATCTAGAATCACTACAATATTTTGTCAATTTAAGTTTAATTGCGTAATGATCCCGTGAAAACTAATATAGTCTTGTAAAGAATTTATCATCATTAATACTGCATTTTGGAATGTTTTTAAACCAGTTTGTAGTTTTCGTTGATTTTCATTTAATTTCACAATAGTTTTATTATAGTTATTAATTATAAAGTTACTTGTAGTCCTAATTATTATTATTATTATTATTATTATTATTATTACTAAGAATAAAGTGCAGAGGAAAACCTATTATGCACATTGATAATTAGTAACACAACACATATAATAAACATTTAGTTATTGCTGTGAAACAATACACTGTCCAAGCGACGTTTAAATACAGACAAGTTCGGCGCACACACAACTTGTAAACTGTTCCAATAATTGAAAGGCCTGTTACTTATAAAATGCAGGCGATGTGAAGTCCTGAATTGTTCCTTCCTCATTTTAAATGGATGACCACGTAGGCGTTCATCATTGCTTAAGACCACAAGGGGCACGTCAGATGGAAATTGGTCATGCGCACACCTATACATTTGAATGAGATCCCCTCGCAGCCGACGCTGACTTAATGGCGGCAGACTAAGTATTTTTAGATGGTCATCGTAAGGTGTATGTCTAAGCTGAAGTGGCCAGCGCGTAGCGACTCGTTGCACTTTTTCCAGAACATCACAGGGACAGGCACGCAATAACCATGGGTTCCAGACTGGGGAAGCAAATTCCAGGATGGAGCGAATGTAAGTGGTGAAAAGCCTGCAAGCGATGCGAGGACTAGGATTTTTTAAAGTCTTTTTTAACAAAAATAACGCACAGTTTGCTTTCTTTGCAATATTTGATACATGTGCAGACCATGCAAGATCGTTAGTTACTCTCACACCTAGGTCCATCTGAGAATCGACACTTGACACAAAGTTTCCATCGATATAATAATTCAAACCGGGATTGTTCTTGCCAACATGAATCGCAGAGCACTTTTGGGCATTCAGCGGCAATAGCCAGGTTGAACACCACTTGGAAATAGTATTCAAGTCTCTCTGCAATACGTCCGCATGTGTTGAAGGATTTCCAAATAATTTAGTGTTATCAGCATAAGCGCTCACATGAGAATCAATGCTGGAGAGCAAATCCAAGGTGTACACTAAGAATAGCACTGGTCCCGGCACCGATCCCTGGGGAACACCACTAGGCACGTTTTGTGGCAGTGAAAAAGTGTTACCAATTGGAACTGTGAACGACCGGTGGCTTAAGAACGCCGCTATCCACTCTAGCAGTTTACTCCCCACTCCAACCTTTTCAAGTTTGAATAACAAGCGGCGATGTGGCACTTTGCTGAAATCGAGGTAAATAATATCCACCGGATCACCTGAGTCAAGAGATGTCCAGTGATTCAAGCATGTCAATGTAATTGATATGACAGATCTACCGGGAACAAAGCCATGCCGCGATGTAGGTATAATATGGCAGTCGATCAAACACGGTAGCAGCTGATTTACTATAAGGCGTTCAAGAACCTTACATATAATACACACTAGGCTGATAGGGCGGTAATTTGAAACATCGAGCTTATCACCCTTTTTATAAATCGGTGTTAGATTTGCGGATAACCAGTGGGTTGGGAGTGTGGCAGAGTCCAAAGATTTTCTCAAAATAATATAAATAGGCTCTGCAAGCACAGGGGCACACGCTTTTAAGATTTTGCTGGAAATTCTATCAGGTCCGGGAGCAGAATATTCTTTTAACGCAGAAAGAGTTTTCTTCACGTTCTCTTGGTCAAAGTGAATGTCTTCTAATAAATCTGAATTTATGGGACCCCCGGTAGTGAGGCGGTAGATTAGCAAAGACACTAGCAAAATATGAAGCAAATTCATTTGAAATGAAGTCCTGGTTATAGGAGACGTCTCCCGAGGTATCTCTAATGACAGGAAGGGATACCTTAGACGATACGTGTTGTCTGACATAAGAATAAAATGCTTTGGGCCGATTGAGGAGGTCATTTTCGAATGCTGACTTCGACTCTCTAATCTCCAAGGATAAACTATTAGAAACTCTTCTATGCAAAGCATAATCGGAAGCAGAGCCAGAGGCCTTAAATCTACGCCACAGAGCTCTCTTATGTTTTCTTTGTTTGAACAGATGTCCAGTTAACCAAGGTTTCTCAGAATTGATCTTAACAAAATGAGTTTTGGAGCTTGTGCCTATGTAATAATCCAGAGTAGACAGAAAATATGTCCACGCATCATTAACGTAGTTATCAGGAAAGTTCCATGTGTGGTGAGAAAGGTCTGCAGCTAATCTTGCATAACCTGCTTGGGATAATATAAGGGTTGAATACAAAACTCAATAACGACATGATCAGATTTTCCAATTGGGGAATCAAGCTCCAATTTGTCAAGTTAATTGGGATCCGGAGTAATTACAAGATCAAGAGTTGACGGAGCGTCGTTCTGTCGGAAGCGCGTGTGCTCTTCAACAAGTTGACTAAGATTACAATCTGACAAAAAATCTAGGAACATGTATTCCATGGAAGTGGGGACAAAGTCGTTTAAAGTAAATTAAAGTCGCCAGCAATAACAGGGTTGACGGAATTTGTGACAAAATTGTTCATGGATTGTAAGAGCTGAAGATTAGAATCATTATCAGTATCGCTCGGCCTGTATACACAGGCGAGTGAAAAACTAAAATCAGAGCTGGTAAATGACAGACAAACAGCGTCCACCATCTGACTCATCATTAAATCTAAGAGGTTGATGCTGTAAGTACCGGCAATATGGCTAAATTATTTTGGTTTTTGTTTTTGGTTGCTGTTTTATAATAATTTCCGTCGTCAGCGGCGAGATTTCCAAAGAGCCATTTATTTATTTTACCAACCGCGTTAATTAGGCCTCGTTCTTTACGAACATGTGGATATAAATTTTCAAGTTTTTTCACCGCAATTTGTATTAAATATTCAGTTCTTAAAAGTAAATTTTCGGCAAGTCCATAATAAGAAATATTATTAGTTATATTTTTAACATTAAACTTTTCTTCAATTATTTTAAATGCATTCTCTATGCTTTCTGCGTGATTAATTATTTGGCTTAAATCTACATAATGGATGTATGTTTGTTATAAATTAACTTCGCGTTACCTATCTGGATAAGAAGTATAGGATTTACGAGTTTGGTAATTTGTAGGTCTGTCGTTACTATTCGTTCGGTAAGAACTGCTACGAGTCAACATTTTGATCTTCATTGGTTTCCTGAAAGAATAGATTTTTATTAGCCTTTGGCCTCTTTGCACTACATTTATGATAGTTCGTCATAGTTTATCTTTGGTGTTATTAATTTATTTTCGTTTGGTTTATTAACGGTATCTTTTTAAATTTAGGAAGTTCTTTTACTTGAATTTTTTTTATGTGATTGAACGGAAGTAGAAATGATAGCGTTATCATTTAGATCAAATGGGTTTTGAGGATTTAAATGGCCATTTATCACTTTAAAAGGTGTAAATGTTGTATCGTAAAATGCAACTCTATGTAAAGTATAACATATAAAAGTCTTTGAGGTCCTTGTTTTTAAATTCTGTTCCCTGATCTGAGGTTATTTTCAATGGTAAGGTTTTCAACTGCCTCGGTTCCTGTTATGCTTTTTAATGGGTACGCTGGTCCATAGCGTGAAAATGCGTCAATTATTGTAACGTACATTTCATGATTATCCTAAAGGTATCAACATGAATATGTTCGAATGTTTTTGATGCTGTTGGGGTAATGTTACATTTTATCACTTGTGGTTTTCGATTAGCATATGTCACAATTGTTAACATAATTTTCTATGTCGTCAGACATTTTCGGCCAATAATATTTTCTGCAAAGGGAATTCTTCATACGATTTATTCCACGATGGCACGTTTTTGTCGCATGGTATAGACTAAGTCCTCGAGAACTGTGTTACAATGAATTATTTTAAATGCTGAATTTTTGAAAGTGTTTTGTAATGTTATAGTAAAAATTAAATTTTCCGCTTGAAAGTAAAGTGCATAAGTAGTTTTTGGTTTAAAGTATTCATCATTTGTATAATATTTGGCATGGGGTCATTTCTAGGGATTAAACACATTTTCTTTCCTTATTAAGAATATTCCTACATCTCCTGTTGTTTTTCCGAAATTGGAATTTCGAAAATTGGATTTTCCGCTGAGGAAATTTTAATTTTTTGTTCTTCCGGTTTCGTCTAACGTTAAGTCGTCTAGATTTGGCAATTCGTCGTTATCATGTAATAAAAAATCGCCTATAATTTCATCCGCGTCTCCTAAAATGTTAAATATCGTCAGTTTCAATAGCGTTCATATGTATTCGATATCGTGTTTCCATCTAACGAGTCGTGAATTTGGCTCTTTTAATGACATTAGCCGCTGTAGGGGTTTATGATCCGTATAAATAATAAATTTTTGTCCGAATAAATAAGGTCTATAATATTTACAGCTCCAAACAATTGCTAAGAGTTCCTTTTCAATTGTTCAGTAGTTTATCTCTGTCGGGTTCAGAGGTCTTGATGCGTAGCATATTGGGTGTCCGTCTTGTAATATCCGTTATGTTCGGGATTGGATATCTATCAGAAATAGTTTTTTCATTAATCTTCCGATAATGTATCCATATAGGGCTTGACCATGGGCTGCTTGATTTTCTTATTATTCCTTTTTCGAGCATATCGTCTATTTGTCGTCTTACTTCTTCTTTGTGGACGAATGACTTCGTATGCACTGGTATTTCATCATTTGTCCTAATCTCGTGCTTTATTTTTGAGGTAAATGACAACTTATCTCCTGAATTAGAGAAAATATGCGAGAATTCTTGACACAATTTCGTGATTAGAGCTTTTGCTTCCGAGTTCATGTATTGAGTACGGATTATTCCTTTTATGTCCTTTTGAGATATCGTACGTATTTTTAGATTATCAGATATAATGTTATAATTGTAAAATTTGTATTGGTCAGCGTTAAATCGTTCAACTGGTAAGGGTTGTGTTAACGTCTCGTCCGGGGGATTTTGGATTTCAATTAGAGCAAAATTATTTTTTGCATATGAAATAGCAGATGGTATTTCCAGATTTTGCAGTTTTTGATTTTTTATAAAAATTTCGCATTCGATTTCACTTACTGGGGACTTACAGTTAGAGTAAAGTTTGCGTCTGATTGTTTTCTATATTTGAATGGAATTTCGTTGTTAAATCCTACTAACTTTTTATTTATTAAATCGATGTTCAGATTCATATTAATTAAATCAGTTAAACCTATTGCTCCATCAAAAAAGTCGTGAAAATAAAATAGGATGAACTCTATTCGATAATCGATGTTAAATTCAGAAAATGCTTGTATGCTAGCTTGAAATTTAGTGTTTTGACTTCTTGCTGCTGTCTTTATTTAATTATTTTTATGATAAATGCAATTTGGAAAACATTTTTCAGCGATAGTTGGGCGTAATATCGAGCGTGAACTACCCGTGTCTATTAGTAGTTTAATATTTGGTTTACGTATTTGAATATACGGTAAAGCGTTGTTCTACTAGGGTTGGTTGTTTGTTTTCATCATTTGGATTTTGTGTTTCGACGTTTTGTTCGATATGCGATGTATTTTCATACTCATTTTGTTCATAATTTTCCTCACATTCGTGTTAATCATTATACTCATTTTGATTAACAGAATAATCAAAGTTTTCATCGCATTCTTGGGTAAAAAATTCTTTCGCTATAAAATTAGGAGGTTGATTGTTGTTAGTAAAATAATTTTTTCTTATCGGTGGTCTTGTAAATGAATTATTTGTTTGTCTCTAGATACCTAATATTGGTGTCGGTTTAGGAAGTTGGTTGGGAGATATTTGATTGGGTTGGAAGACATTTCGTGGGGGTCCAAAAACTTCCCGATTTGTTGGAAATCGTGTTTGAGTTATTTGCCTCGGTTGAATATCTATTACTTGAGATGGAAATTGTGGTTTTTGGAATTGATTTTGATATTGCTTTGGATTTGAAGAAGTATTAAAATTGTTTGGCGTTAAATTTGTGTTGGGGTTTATTCTAGGCTAAAATCTATTTAGATTCGGCTGATTTTAGAATTGTTGAAATGGTTGGTTAGTTATATTTGGTGTTGAATTGTCGATGAATTGGTGTTTAGAAGTGTTTTGTATTGTTTTGTTGGAAATTGGGTATTTGGAATTGTTTTGAATTGCTTTGTTGAAAATTGGGCATTTGGAATCGTTTTGTTGTGTTGCTTAGATTTCCTTAGAGGTTTTCGAAATGTTCAAATTCAGAAACATAAGCAATGGCTTCCTCTAATGAATTTGATTTTTTTCAATGCATGTTGTTTTCGAGCGTCCCGGTGCATCCAGCTGTGAATGTACTGAGCGCAATTTTGTTGTAATAATTTACATGGAAAAGTCTTTCATTTTGATCTAAATCTTAAAGTTGTAGGCTACCACCGAAATCAACTAAATGTTCGTTTTTGAATGGTCTTGTTCTAGTTAATTCATGAATTAGACAATCTAAATTTCTCACATCTGCAAAGCATTGAATTAGCGCATCTTTTATGCTTAACCAATCTGTCAATTCTGATCGGTTGCCTACTTCTGCTTTCACTACTAGTGTTTTACTTGCTAAAATTACACACCACATATTAAAGTAAAGCAAAAAAATATGTTAAAGATACTTAAACTTAAACTTCCAGCTGTTGAGGAATGTAAAAACTTGGGTACAATCTTTGATAATCAACTTCGATTTCGTACACAGGGATTCCAAGTTGTCCAAGAGGTTTATATTACTATCCGGAACATCTATAAATGGAAATATATTCTGAACTTTAGGTTAAAAATACTCTCTACGACTTTGACAAAATATAAATTTTCATTTACCACCTTAAGCGAAAAGATCACGCAAGTCATGAACTTCACGATTTAATATGGTTAAATATATCGAGTCAAGAGTCACTTTGCATGTTTTCTTCACCAACTATTTAAAACTGGATGCCTCCCGGCTAAAGGTTGCTTCTCATCTACTTCTGTTAGACTGCTCATTAAAAAAACATACTTAAAAACATTTCCCTTTACTCAATTTTTTAATCGTTTTTCTTTGTTTGATGAATTGTAAAATTTTTGTAAAAATTAGGTCATATGTCTGGTTACATTCTCGGTTAAGTTAACATCTTAGCTGACCTTCTCCAAGCTTAAAGGCGTTTTTGTTTATTTATTTATTTATTGTTTACTTTGGACTTGACTACCCCACATTATTCTCGATTTGACTGGTTGACATCTCAGGGTTCTCAACAACTGCTTGTAAAACATTATTTTTGGGTTTCTTCAATTCTAGATTCCTTTTTTTAGATAAAACAGCGTTTTAATCGAACCATATTTTATATTTTTAAAAATTTCGAGCCAGCTCTAGGGAAATGGACTTACATCTATTAAGATGTATTGTTGCTGTATCTACAGTATTTCTGCGGCAGAAAATGCAGCACGTTAGCATGTAAAACTTTAGTTCATGGATATAATGGCCACACGATGAGTACACAATATTAACTATGCAACAATAAACAATAATAACGATAACAGTAGCAATAACGGCAGTTACTATTCTATTATGATTTTGAATAATACATTAATAATATATATAATAATAAAACAAAATATTTCTTCTCGTCATTCATTGTGCTGAGCGAGATACTATGCAAAAATAAGTAGTACTTTGCCACAGTATTGCGCCTTCTTGTATAAGATTTGAATTTCGTCATTCATCAGTGTTTGGTACAATATAACCAAATCCGCAAAGAAAACGAATTCGTCGGACCAGACGTGGAAATCGAATACTGGCGGAGGCAGCTAGCTAGATTCACCAGTGTGGTCGAGTTTCTAGAAACCGAAGAGTGTCAACAATACATCGCGTTCCTAAGATTTTGTCGAAAAATGGACGTCGTCAAGGTGTTAAAATGACCGCTTTCAATTATTTTTATTCATGAAAATCTTTTAGATTTGGAAGAAGCAGCTGGATTTGGTGTACAACACGAGAAACGAGTGCCTGGATAATCTGAAATATTTGTATTCCATGGAAAAATACTGGCAGCCGTTGTATAGGCTGGAGCCGCCTCAACTAATGCAGCACGTACCTCCTCTATTGCACGGTATACGGCTTGCGTTCACCACTTCGAGATATTACAACAGCACTTCGAACATATCTGCCCTGTTTGTAAAGGTCTCCAATCAAATTATAAAAAAATGCAGGGACTATTTGAATTGCGACGGCACGAAGACTGTGTGGAATCAACCGAAATGCGAGGTTTTAGATAAAATAAAGGTGAGTAAATTTATAACGCTCTGCATTTCGCACCGGAGGTCCCAGTAACGAGCTACGGTATTGCTGAAACGGATGTTCCTAATGATAGTTTCACTATCATTATGTATCGTCGATTAAAGAATATTAGGATTTTTCTATTTCTTTGACTCACGAGTTTCTTTGACAAGAACGGAGCGCAGCGGAAACGTTATTTAATTTGTTTGTTTGAAAACAGACAAGGGTCACAACGTAGGAATAATGTCTCCAGTATTGTAAAAGAAACCAATGTAAAATAAGCTAAGCAACGAAGCTTTATTTCAATAACAACCCTTACAATGGATATGCTTACCAAAATTCAATCTTCACTCACTAGTACGTTTGTTTGATAGCCTAGGAAAAGTTTTTTTTAAAAAGCCATGGTTATTAAAATCCATTAAGCTCTTTGGGAGATATAGATAATGATTTTTTGTAGAAATGCTAAAGCACCCCCCACCCCCCGCACCGTGAATGGTTAAAATATGGAACAATTTTTTTGCAGTAAATAGAAAATACAAAATAAATAGATATCTATACCAAGTCAATTTTCTTAAATAGAACACCAGTTTTTCAAATTCATGTAGTCTACCCTGGACCGATCTCCGAAACCGAAAATTGGTTTAGGAATATCTCAATAAAGTGTTTAACTTGTCACAATTACATTTTTGTCAGTAAAGAAATTGCTCGAGTCAGCCACCACATTACTTTACAGTTAATTACAATTGTTTATCAAGAAATTTGGCTAGTGATTTATCGAGTAGAACAATCGTAAAGGCAAAATTTTATATACCCTTTTTCTAGGCCTGTCTTGACTTATACCTGAAGTACTATCAATGCTTCAGGCGCACCAAAAAACAAATCGAAGAGGCCGGCGAAAGACCGTTCGAGTGTTCGGAAAGTTTAATTTTTGGCAAATTCGAGACTTTCAAGAAGAGATGTGAAGAAGTAACGACCGCTTCCTATTGGAGTCACTTAACAATTGTTCATATTGATATAATGTTTTTTTAGATTGTGTATGTATTGACAACGACCACAAAATATTCGATTTTGCAGCAAAGCACCATAGAAGGAATCGACATTTACGCCAAACGATTCGCGGAATTTTACAAACACATTTCAAGTCAGAAATACGACGCTTTGAACCACAGGTTGCCCCACTTCACCACCGATTTTAACGGGTTTAGACAGAACGTGGTGGACACTGAATGGGAGCTCGAAGAATTTGTCGGCACCACCTTGGAAAAGACCACCGATGTTCACAACGTCCTGCGGCTCTTAAAGAGGTAATGTAATTGTTCGTAGATTTTGTATATCAAGAACTCGCACTACCACTTACGAGATGAGTGCTGAAAATTTGTGAAATTGTATAATAGAACCACTGATCTATCAAACTGCTTTATTATTCGTTGCTAATAAAAGTTAGCGGGCGACTGAAGGCAGAGATTGACTCGTTGCTGATAGAATAAGTGTTGTGCGGCTAGGTATCTACTTATCTATTATTTACGTATTTATAAGGTGATTTTTCATACGCGCCATTTTGATAATATCTGACAACGCGACTTCTATAGAAGGAACAAGTGTTAAGAATTTTTTTAAATTATTCGCCGGGGTAGATTTGGGCAATGTAGGGGCAGATAAGAACAAAAACAATGTGTTTTATCCAAAAGTTTGACTCATGTTCATGTGGCGAATTAGATTGGACCGATCTAACAAAAGACATATAAATTTTGAAAATTTAGTTGACTTTATATATACTGAAGTCTGCTTAAAACCGCTTTATTGAACAAAACGTTGCAGTTGTTTCAGAGCCTCAGATGCTGATCTACAACATCAAACAGCTTATGTTTCAGTTGATTGTTCTTTTGCTTCATTATCTTCTTTGAGTTCAGCCTTCCAGAAGAATTTCATAAATAGACACCCTTTTGCGAAGATGGCTTAGCAAACAACATTGAGAGCTTGGTTTAAATAGGTTTTAAATAGGTTATGTTGCGCAAAGTCAGAGGGCTGGAGGCGGGTTGTACATTTTGGGGGAAATGCAACGAAAATAACCTCCATCTTTCTACAATATAAATTTGTTTTAAGACTGCTATGGAATTCATGGGCGTCTTAAACAAATCAATATAGGTTTGGTGCATTTCGTATGCTGGTTATGTGTTTAATTAGATCTAAGAATAAAGAAAGGATGTTATCCATCCTCCTACTCCTGACTTGTTGGCCAATCCAAGAGTTCCTCTGGACATACCTTTCATATGAATATTCTTAAATCTTGTTCACGAGAACACATACAGGAGGAATTGTATGTTCGATTCCACTTGTAATAGCGCAAAATATAACCAGCTGTTGCCATTTTGCGGGTGCTGTCTATACCACAATATCTGTACCAGTTATGGCAATGACTTGCATCTAAAACGGTGGCAACGCCTGTTTCATTCACATTGTAGGATCTTATTGGCGGTATCATATACTTTTCTAAAACTGACTGTAAATTATGAAGAAACTCTTCACATTTGCTTTATGAAATCTAAAGGCTCTTGCCATGATGCTATTATCTGGCTTCCGAAATTGAATATCAACTAGATGGATATTTTCACATTTATATGCCAATTTTTGAACTTGTATAATTACTTTTAAAACTTTGGATAAAATATTTAGCAAATTGTTCTTCTTGGATAGATATACAATGTTTTTGCGACTAATAGTTTTATTGGAATGGTATTGACATTTGATATTGTCTGTCAGGGGTGTCAGAGTTTCCTGGACGTCGCCAATTTATTTTCATTGGTCTGTTACCCACGGTTAATTTTATCAAGTTGTGGATAGCGGCTGCAGCTCTTATTAAAAGTCTTCCTTGCTATGTATCTTCAGCATGTAATAATATATGTTATATACGTCCAATTAAAAAAACATATTGTAGGTCGTATCTTAAAAATTATAATTTAAGTATAACTGAATTTGCCAAATTTTGTTTCACCTTGTATCTTAAAAACAGATCCAGATAGGATTGTTTTGAACACGTCATTTTTTGTTTCGCGAAATTCACATTACTAAGGCAAAACAATGAAAAATGGAAACGCTGTATCCCCAAATGCCGGTCAGGTATAAGACATTTTGAAATTACAGAGCACCCTGTTTCTCAATACGCTTTTATAAGGATTCATTGGCGAAAGATTTTTTTCCAACCATTACCACTATTCATACATTTTGTTTTCTAAATAAAATAAAAAAAATCTTTTTCTTGGGAACAAAACTTAAAATATTGAAATAATTCAATAAGAGTTAATATATCTTCTTTCCTTTTAAGTTTCATCCATATATATTGTGTGTGCAATGTAAAATATAACCTCAAAAATTTGGAAATGTGAATAAACATTAAAATTTCGTTTCGGGTGACAAACATAAAAGCGTTATCAAAAAAAAATTGGGTACATTTTAAAGTTAACGGTGCTTTGAGCACCTTAAATCATGTATGGATACCGAGCTGAAAACTCTCTAGCCTACCTATATCTGAAGCAAAAACCCGATAACTGTTTAGCAAGAAAAAGAGGTTAATAAAGTAACTAGTATCATGTGCATATAATGACAAGAAACAAATTCTACACAACAAAACACAGACAAATAATAAAAATAATTGTAACAAACAACATTAATTTGGTTATAAAAATAAAAAAATGTGAGTTTGTGAGTTTATTTAAGAACAAAATCAATATTGATGGCTCCACAGCCTATAAAACATATTGTAGCAAATTTTTGTTTCATTTTTACATCCACTATTATTATTATTAATACGAATAAAATGCCGTTTTGTAATTTCAAGGTTTCAAAAACTAAATTTGCAATGCCTGCACCTGGACAGCAGATATTTGGAAGCGATGATGCTCTTTCAAAAAGAAATAGAAAATTTGCGTGACCGTTACAACGAAGAACGTCAGTCGCCTCAAATTCCATTCAACATGCCGCCAGTCAGTGGCAGAATAAAATGGATCAGGCATTATTACTCGCGAATTTCAGAGCCCATGGACATTTTTAGAGAGAAATCGAGGGTGATGGCACATCGGAAGGCTCAAAAGTGCATACAGCTCTTCAACGCTATGTCGATGTGTTTTGTCCATTACGAAATGATCTACCACGAGGCTTGGTTTAAATACGCGGGACAGGTGGCAATCTCGGAGCATATCGAAAATCATTTGCTATGAAAGTTTGTTTTAGGTTCGAAATTGTCTTATTATGCCAATACTCGCCAAAGACGAGCGAACCAAGCATTATCAAGTTAACTTCCATCCGTATATAACGGAGGTCATTCGAGAAGCAGAGTACATGTACAAACTGGACCTAGGTAAACTGTACAGGTTGTTTTGCAAGTCGGTTTTGAAAGTAGAGCAAACAATAGTTGTTTAAGTTCTTCATCTATGACCAAGTGGGGCCCAAATGGTTGACTATTTGGTTGTCCACTAAGGACGCCAGTAGTTAGGTTTCCCGTAGACAACAAATTTTTCAAGGTTGGAGCAGGCATTTGGTGAAATTTTTGAGGTGCCGCATAATTCCTATTTTCAAGTAAAAGATAAAGTTTGTGGTAGACATTAATTCAGTTTGTTTGTTTCTCTAATATATCAATCTACACATTCACAGGGTATTTTGTAGATACACTCTCTCTTGAGCTGATGTATCTGACTTTATTTTTATTTTTTTTCTGAGATTCCCTTCAAGTATGCTCTGCTGTTACTTTTCGTTTACAATTTGATAATGTTTTGTCAATACATTTTTGAATGTAGCCACTATGAAGTAAATCCTTTTTAATACTGCATCATTCTATATCGAGTTATGCTTCGTCACTACATATTGTGATTGTTCTTTTGCAGAGTGTTTGGATGAGTCCTAGTTTGGTTGCTTCAAAATGGTTAGTTCAAATTAAATACTTTCCGATTTGTGTAGGCTTCCCATACGCAGAGGTACTTATAGAGTTATTATTTCTACTTACTAGGACATCGAGAAACAATAGGCAGCCGTTCGTCTCTTTATTAACAGTAAATTTAATGGATGGTGGCAAATAATTAAGATGATTGGTTCCATTTAAGATGATGAAGAATTCGTCGACATATCGAAGCCAGACCCTAGGTTTAGCAATTGCCGCATCTATAGCAGGAGTTTCAAAAACATCCCATGTTTATATTCGCTGCCACTCGAGATAGAGGGGAGCCAACTTATCTTTGACTTGAAAGTAAGAGTTATGCAGACAACACGTAAGGAGCTCCATCACTCCTTCCAGCCGTAGCGAAGTTCTGTCTTGAAGTGTTACATAATCTTACATTTTTAAAAATATGAAAATGGCCGTAGCTCAAATGAAGGACTTTCCCCCGCAAGTCGCTGGACAATTTGAAGAGGGAATCTACTTAAGCTGCTGGTTGCGGAATTTGGACATTGATAGATCTGAGTGGTACATTAAGTTATCTGGAATTCACAGTCTGTATTTGTGCTGTGCTTCATTTATTCTACCTTCAATTGTTCTAGTAGGGTCGCTAAAAAGTAGTCTGTATTTGCTGCTTTCCAATTGTAAAGTATCATGGAAATGTAAAATTGTTTTATAGAAGAGGAGAAAAAGGACGACGAATACAACCATATTAGAAATTATAACTTCCATGGAGACCCTACAACTATACTTTGTCTGCCCTTCCTAGCTGCAATTATGAGTAGCAGTGAATCCATTACCACATACGTATATTGAAAAACAATACATCTGCCCCAAGTCAATGTCGAAAGTGATATCCAAAATAAAATTAAAAAAACTAAAAATAAAAATAGGGAAAAAGCTTAGGGAAAACAAGTTTTTAGTTCGTTTTCGTTTAGTCGTTGTTCCTTTTGTCGCGTTTTATGTACCGATTTGCTCTAGTTTTGAAATTATGGCGTCTTTGGTACCGCATTTGGGCAGCGGTGTTCACAAAAATTTTTCCGTCCCGTTTGAAATGCTGCAATTCCAGGAATTTTAGGATTCATCGACCAAGACGTTTCCAGACAACAATTACTATTTTCGAAATTACTCTTTAATGAAAGTTTCATCTGATGCCTGATTTTTTCGATAGAAGTTCCCGATTGCGGCCAAGTTTTGGTATTCTGCCAGGAGAAGTTGATGCGTTCTTATGAACTGCTGAACGCGCTAGTTGAGAGAAACGACAGTATACGTCATAGCATTCCGACGTTGTTTTTGCCGATGATGCGGGTCCAGCTTATTAAGATGGAAGACGCATTCATGCCGGGGTTTTCCACAATTACCTGGACATCCACAAAAATACCGGAGTTCTGCGACGAGGTCTCCACAGTTCTCGATTACGTGGAGATGTTCTTGAAGGAAGTTAGAGATATGAAGGAGGCAAGAATCGACGAAGTTCTCGAAACGTTAGCTAATACTAGTCTAGTTTATTTGCCTGGCGAGCCGATTTCTCCTAACGCGTTCGTGGAACTCAATATTAAATACAGTCAAGAAATTGGTAAGTTTACTTTTGTATTGTTTTTGTTTTAAAAAATCGGAAATATAAAAAGGCTCTCTTTATTACTATTTTAAGTAATAATAAGATTGCTTTTGGCACTAACAGGAAAATCTACTGTCTTCAAAGCTGTCAGTATTTGGGTCCAAAAAGTTGCATAGGATTGAATTGAGTACAATTCTGGAAAGCGTGTTCCTCTGAAGGTACCAAAAACCGCTTAATTCAATTCAGCTACAGTCGAAGCTCTATATAGCGAAATTGAAGGGACTGCATTTATTTTTTTTTCGTTATAAATAACTTGAAAAATAACAATACCGATATGTGTTTTGTAATGGGAAATATTTAATTATTTTATATATTTATATTAATATCTACTTAGGAATATTTTATATAAATATTTAAGAACTACATTTCATATTTGACATAATCTTTCATTTTCATTTGAATTTGTTCAGTATGCCAATACACATACATACTTTGGCTTGTATTTTCGACATTTTTTCGAGAGAGGCATCTTCTCTATGATACATAAAAAAATTCTCTAGCAGCTTAACTGACGGACTTACTGCATGGTTGGTGGTGGTTCAAGATCAACTTCTTCATATTTTTCTTTCTCTGGGTTCTCTTCTTCATCCCTTCTTGCTTGTTTTAATATGGCTTTATCTTTCAAGTCTACTGTTGTAGGCAAATCCTGATCTATCCTCATAAAATATTGTAACTCCTCACTTGTAAGCGTAGTTGGTGTGTGACACTGTTGTATCCACTCACTTAGTGCCTGATCATCTTTCAAGTCTTGTTCGCATTCTGTCCCGGAAATAAGTCCTGCATGATTATAGGAGTGTTGAATTGCTTCTGCTGGCACTTCTTTCCAAGCTTTACTAACAAAGTTGACTGCATTTAGTATATTAATAGAAAATTTGTCTTTGGACTCAGTCATTTCCATTAAAATGTTTTTCCCGTATCGACTCTTACGACTTTTTAATGTGCACTGGTTCATCGGCTGTGGTACACTGGTTGCTTTGGCTGAAAAATGCCAATTCATTATTCCGTAGATTTGGAATATATATGTGCAGGCAGTTATGTAAGAGAAGTCATATTTTCCTTCCCTTTATTTCTGCATCAAATTTCCGTATCTCCTCTTCAAAAATTTGCGATGTCATCCATGCAGACTTGTTTGCCTGATAAGCCTCATAAAACAGCTTTCTAGCTTTCTTTTTTTGCTTCAACTCATATTGGCAGCCACTACCACTGTTATACATACTTTAGAAAGTTTTCCACCCACTCAGTTTCGCTTCGAAATTTGAGAGTTTTATCTGGCGTCATTTTGTATAAAATACCATTTTCGTCAGCATTAAAAATGTTTTCATCAGGATACTTTTCTGCTAGTTATAGTCAACGTTTTCTTCAGCCAATCGTTTGTGACGTTTCTGTCGACATCACGGGATTCGCCAGTTATGTGTCCATAATTTATACCATATCTCTGATTGAACTTCCACAACCATCCTTCCGAAGATGCAGAGAGTGGTATATTTTTAAGACGTTGCTGTTGGAACCACTGCAACATTGTCCGATCCAAAATTTCAAATTTTGACTTCCTTATTCTTTTACTAGCACTGCCTGCCGCTTCAGCCTGAACGATTTTTTCTTTGCACTGCCAAACCGTGCATACAGTCATAGGTGTAAGTCCGTATCGACGTCCCATTTATCGTTTCTCCACGTTCTATCTCTCGAATTAAAGCAGCTTTATCATCTAGAGATGAAGTTTTTGGTTTACTTGCCATGCTCGCAGTATTCACGAATTCAAAGGATTCAAAGTGATTGAACATAATCGCTTATTATGAGAAAAACACTGAGGACAACCAAGTTTTCCTAGATTATTAGGGTAAGGAACTCCAAGAAGGTAAGAGACTGTACTAATTACTAGTCGGCCTACATTCATTGCTTTGTTATCTTTATTCTTTCGAGATAGAGAGTGAGAAATTCATTATACACATTGGATTAATACATAGATTTTCATGGAGACTAAATAGTACCACAAATTTTCTTCATACCACAGGTTTTCACGTTATACAGAATTTCACTACAGGGAGGTTTCACTGCATTTGCTTTTTTAAGTGCACCAAACTTCATTTTATTATTTTGAAAATCTCTAAAAGGAAACTTAAAACCCATGAAAAAGTTTATACCCTGTGCTGCGAAAACGAAACTCTCACTGATATTTACTCTGTGCCATAAAACACACATAGTTTATATATTTACCCATTTTTATGTTTTTTGAGTTTGCAAATATCAGATTTGTTTTTTAATTTCCCGCAAAAAACTTTTTGTTATTGGAATCATTGTCTAGTATTGCCTAGGATAAGAAGACTTGCCGTATATCGTCAATTAGGTGAATTTCAAGAAGTTTCCAGCGCAATCGGATATGAGTGGACGAAACCGGTATCTTCTATTTTGTATAGGGAGTGACACTGCGCTAACTGGAGAGTTATGTATATTTTGGAGAGAAACATGAATACTCTAAAATAATGGTATTTCGTTTGGGGATGCCATCTGTCAATAAAGAGACAAACTAAATTCGGTTATTAATGCTGATATTTTTATAACTCACGGTCTCGCGTGTTGAGTGGTGGACGTAGCAGCCTTCTCTTCTACTTTTTTATATTTACTGGGTATTTTCAGTTTCACAGAGTATACATTCACATTAGTTTTTAATATTATAAAATTGTTTTCTTGAAGCGGTTACAAAAAACTGACTCATCCTTTATATCTTACAGTCAAAGAAATTCAACTGAAATCTTCGACGGTAGAAAATTCTGTCAAGGGGTTGATCAACAAATTTCTCGATATCATAAATAACCCCGAATTGCAAGAAAACAAGTATAATTGGTTGGACAGCGAAAAAGCGGTTCGACCAATTGCCAGCACCTCCAGGTTGCTCATGTCTAGCGATGCAGGTAGGTGGATTCTGCTTTCTCCATTCGACATCATCTATTCTATTGCTCGTAGCGTTTAAGGAAATCGACCGTAGCTTATCGATGGATTTGTCCGGTGCGCACGCAGACTGCATCGAAATGTTTGCTTATTTCAATATGAAATTGGTCGATGCTTTAATTAAAGCGACAAAACTGTCCCTTGAGAAGGTCAAACACAAGGTTATGAGGTTTGTATTCGGTCGGGCAAATCGAAACAATGGCAGTGATATTTTACTTAAAGCGTTGACGGCGAAACGCCCCTGATGTCCACATCAATGGTTCTTCAGATCCCCGTGGCGTGCATTAATCCCAACCTTGAGGAAATCCAGCACTGTTTCTCCCTAGTCCTCCAAAATATACTAGACGTTCACAAGTATATAGAATTGTGGGGTCAAAGAGACGCGAAACCTGCCCTTAAAGGAGGTATAATTAATCCACTCAAATTGGACATAAAAATAGTGTGACAGAGCTGGATTTTGTTGGAGACTTAGGCGCAACACTTGAATTTCTAGATCATGGATCATTTATAAAAATGGTGCCTGTATTTGTTTTCAAAATTTCATTATCAAAATATTAAGTTACTAAAAGTTAAAGCAGTCAAATTGTGCCCTACGTGCATCAATTTCTACTGTGGTCTATCAGCTAGGTCAGACCAGGGCGTAGATGCCTTGCGAAGTTGTTACTGAGGAAATGTAGTGGCGACAATCCGTTAATTATAATTGTATCACCCAAATTATAACTACAAAACGTTTGCTTGAAGGTGACAGACAATGTCTCAATAGAAATATTAAGAGATTGTCAAACTTCCATTGTCTTAATTTTTTCTTTAGACAACGTTTCAGACAGATCTATCACTACTCGTTATAAAAACTAATTTTAATTCTAAGGCTACGAGGCTTATATTCTAGACCGCAGCGTTCAACAGGACCATTGTTTCACTGAACTTCACCCCTCATTGTATTTCCTATGTGCTTCAACTCTAACGTTTAAAGGTCTATATATGACTCTTCAGATTCATAGGGTATTTGGTAGATACACTCTTTCTTTTGAGTAGATGTTTCTGGCTTTGTTCTTGTAACTATGCTCCTTAAAATAAAGATAGGACTTCCACAATCTCTTGGCGTTTCTATAATTATATATCCTGAAACTATATAGTCAACTCTATGGAGTTGGCAATATCGGTTATTGATTTGAGCTGTACTTTGATTCATGCTCTTTAAAGTCGGCGTCAGCAGTCTGTCACTTGATTTTTCTTGCTGGATGTTCATAAATTCACATGAACCTTCATCTGTTGAATTCAATTGAACATTCGATCAAGGCTGGCCTTGACAATGGCAACATTTTTTGAAATTGCAATTACATCTAACAGTTTCTCATTTTTCGCATTGTTAGCTGCAACATTACACATTAGTAATAATAGTAATAAATGTATTCACTCGTCCAAAACCAAACCAAAAGTATTTCATTTAAAAGTTTATCAATTGACTGAATGTATAGGATATGTGTGCAGAATGCAGAAAACTGTTTTAACTTTAATGGTGATTCTTAAGAGACAGCAGACATGGAGACGTCTTCACCAAAATCCAACTCTGTTACAATTTTTGTTATTTCAAATACCTGAACGGACAAAATTTGGAACTGGCAAGTCTGCAGCGTAGTTTTTTATTTATTTCATATTTTAGAAGTTGTAAAACCGAAACTGAAGAACTACTATAAACGCGTCAGCGAAAATAAGGAAATTGTTCGGGTCTATATGGGCCTGCAGGGAATTTGGTATCTCTTAAGTCCGGACATTGAGAGCTTACTTAATGTAATTAACGTGTTATTCAAAAAGGGAAGTGGTGATAGGACGCAAATGGTCTTTTTAGCAATATCTGGAGTGGAAGTACATGTGGCTGGATGACAGGGATCAAATTATCGACGCATTCTGCGCCAAGGATCCATTGATTGTGGAAATTTCGGAGAAATTTCAGGAGTACGACGGTAGAGCCGAATCAATACGAAAACTTCCGGAAAAACACGATGTCGGATCGCTTAGGATTCTAATGGGTATAGACCTGTTATATGGGATTCCAAGAACTCGATGGCGTATTAAAAGCATAAGCGAAATGGGATTAAAAAGTTTCTAAATATGTGTGACGTATTAAGATTTCATAAAAATGTTTATATTCTAGAAACATTTTATGTAATTCAATTCTATTTTGAGCTGGCCGAGGTAGAAAAACATGATAATAACTACCTATATTTGCTTACATTTCCTTAGTCTGAGCAAAAACAGTTCAAAATCAGTTTTCAGGAGCGTTGTTCTACTACGTAGGTTTTCAATCTTCCACGTCCTTGTATTTTCGCTCCTCTCTTTGTCCAAGAGTGTTTTTCCAGTTGCTCCGGGGAGTTTTCTTGTTTCTGTTGTCTAAAGTGATTGTCCAGTTTTCGGTGTGTCGAATTTCTGCGGCGTGACATAAGGATAGTTATACGGGTATACTATGTTGGTAGAGGATTTTTCGATGAGAGAAATTAACTGCTGTCCGGGACATTCGCCACCATATCTGAGTAACTTATTTAGGATACCATACCATCTCGTCCTGGGCTCTTCCTATTCTTTAGCTTTCGAAGAACTGTGTCCACTTTGCCCTTCTAAATTTGTCTGTCATCATTTGAGGTATGTTTAGTTCAACCTCAGACATTTGTGTTTTATATAGTTCAGTTAGATTGTGGACTCAGGTCTCTTGCTATTTGGTTTATTTCGGCAAAGCGCCAAATTTGCATTTTTAATACATAGTGTTCCTGCATTCGCTTTGAGATTTTCGAATGATGGTTATTTTTTTGTCTTACTAGTGCTGTTGTTTCGTGCCTAATTGGTTTATACCTTTCATACGATTCTGGTATTCGTAATGTTCTGCAGTTGAGGTATCCAATATTTTTTTGCGAAAATCAAGAGGTTCTGATGTTATTATTTTTTACTGTTTGGGTGCTTAGAGCTTCATATGCGGCTTCTTTAGTGTTGGTCCTCTGTTTTTGGGTTATTCATATAGCTACTGGAGATATAGAGTGCCTGCCTATACTGATAATGCAGGAACTTATAAAGCAACTATAAAAAATATGAGAACGTCATCAATTTTTACTTTCGTTTTTTTTTTTGTATAGCTTTGATTAGTTGCATTAGTTTCAATTTTTGCAAGTACCAAGCTGTGATGGCATGCTACGTCCGCAATATAATAAGTTTATTTATCAATCAATATCAGCCACAATATCACCAATACAATAAAACTCTATTCATACTAATTCCCGTAAATACATAACCAAAAAATAAACATTAAAAAAATAAAACAAAAGATTATTTAGTAGAAGTGGGAGTAAAATAATTACGATTATTGACAAATAGACTAAAATAACACCAAAGAAATACTTGTCGTCTTGTCGGTGAGAATTAAACTTATAGGTCTTATATAATTATGGAAAGTAAAAAGTGTTAATAAAAGATAACGAATACCTGCCTAAATTATACATGTAATTGAATATGGAAAAATCAATACAAATTGGAAAAGTCAAAAGGGTAATGAAAAATCGAACGGTAATAAATTGAATGAAAAACTAAAATGAAAAATGAAACAGAAGACGTAGTTAAATAAGCCAGCGAAGGGGTGATAAAATTATGTTGTAAAAACAAGCTTGTTTTGGAATGTAATTGTATTAAATTTATTAGCCGTTGGTTTGTCATGATCAGTTACAGTTTAGTCTAGTTCTGGATACGTTTTCTTGGTTAAGTGCTTTATCATTGTTGGGGATAGTTTGACACATTCGAGAACTTATTTTTTTTATCGTACTTTTTGAGCTAGCCATATTTTTTCATTATCAGTGAATGAATTCTCGATCTCTCTTGACTTAGTAGCCATTTGTTTAGTCGAGATTTAAACAAAATTAAAGAATTTATATTTTTGATTTCAATCGGTAGCTCACTATGGATATTTGGGCTTAAGTCCAAAAAGAATCTTTGTCCTAGTGAGGTGTTAGTTTGAGGAAGGTAACCTGTTATTACTTTGTGTCTGGTGTTATGATTATGCTTTGTGGCATATAATTAGTCTTTTCGTAATTGACGGTTAAGAGATGGTTACTCAACTATTTAAATATATGCTGTAGGTCCTGTTCGGCTCTGTTTTTAAGTGCTTGCCAGGATTTATCTCTGTAGATTATGGCAGAGTGGTCCGCAAAGCATGTTAGTTCTCCAAGAGATTTTATATTAAATTATTAATATAAAGTATAAACAATATCGGGCCCAAAACTGTCCCTTGGGGAACGCCAAACTCTACATTTGTTTTTTCACTAACCACATTTCCTACTTCACCTTTCTGTGTTCTTTCAGAAAGGTAAATTTAAAAAAAAAATTAGGACAACACCCCCGACACCGACCCTTTCCAAGATTTCAATTAATTTGTGATGATCAATTGTATCAAACGACTTAGCCAAATCAACTTGCTTATACTTATTATAAGTTTGACTAAGGCGTCCTGTGTTGAAAGTTCAACCTGAAATCCAAATTGATTTTCAAACAAAATATTGATTTTTTTTTTAAATATCATTAACGTATTTTTAAAAATTTTTTCTATAATTTTAATAGTATTGTTTAAAATTGAGATGGGTCTTTAATTGAATGAGTGGTTGGAAAAAGCGTAACATTCCGAAAATATGGCGAAATAAAGTGAGATAGCCAATATATTAAAATTTGTATTCTCTTTCTGCTGAGCGCAAAAACGATAAAATCGCCGGCTCCCGTCATATAATAATTTTGTTGTTTGTTGTTTTTGTTGTGTGTTGTTTGACCGTTAGCGTCTTGAGCCGATTATTTCACATAGTTTTGCATTTTCGTTGAGACAACAGGTGTTTAAATAGTTAGTGAAGTTTTGATTATCTGTAATTTGAAGTTTGAGAGTTTAGTGAGTAGAAGGTGAGTCCCTATTTAGTGATGGTTAAATAGAAATATAAAAGTTGTATTTCTGTATTGTACAAATGTCAGATTCATCGGATTCAGAGGGAGAACGTGAAGGGAAAAGGCGAAAGTTGAACAAAAATGTCACATAAAAGAAAGGGAAAAATTAGCTAGACAACGAGGAGTACAGTTTGTTACACATAAAGGTAAACTAACTAACTGACTAACTAACTAACTAATGCTAAGATAACCGGGCCGGATTGCACGTGCCGTAAAAAATGTATGGCAGTTTTTACTATTGAAGAAAAACGTTCAGTAATTGAAATTGTTTATAATGGACGACCAAAAAATCAAAAAGATACATATCTTATGGGACTAATACAAAGATACGCTGTTGCCAGACATCGTCCTGCAATAGCAGAGCCTAGACAAAATCCTTCTTCTTTTAAATATTTTGCTATGAAAATTACGTGCAGGGTTGAAGTTTGCCGCAGCGCGTAAATGAGTTTGCATGGTGTCTCGAATAAAGTCGTACAACGTTTAACCAAGCTCCGTGAAACTGAAACTTCACCATTTGACATGAGAGGAAGGCATGCAAATCGTGCAAGTAAACTCGATGGCGCAATTGTTGCCAAAATTGATGACCATATCAAATCATTTCCAAAAAAAGAGTCTCATTATTCTTCTAAGTTAATTAAATACTTAGATGCAAGTTTGAGCATCACTAAGATGTATGAGCTCTTCACTAAAGAGAATCCTGATTTGAGAACTCACGTCAAGTATGAATATTATTTGAGACATTTTCAGGAAAACTACGGATACCAGTTTGGTAGGCCTCAAGTCGACATTCGCTCGACTTGTGAAGACTTGAATGCAAAAATAAAGTCGACTACTCTTAATGAAACAGCAAAGAGTTGCGCAGTTGCAGAGCTTATGATTCATAAAAGACGAGCATCCAAATTTTACAAAAAACTTCAAGAAATCAAGGAGACCTGTAAAGAGAGGAATGACGTTGGAGCCATAGTGTTTGATTGTATGCAAAATCTTCCCCTTCCATTAATGCCAGGAAATGTTCTATCTGCGAAAACTTTGGTATTATGTTTTTAACGTTCACAGCTTTGGCAACGATGTATCGGTTTTCTATACTCCTACAAAGGGAGCTGCTCAGCGAGGCCCTAATGAAGTCAGTACGTCCATTTTGGACCCAACATATTCCTGAAGAAGTCAGAACCCTACATGATTTTAGTGATGCGTGCGCTGGGCAAAACCGCAACCATATTCTAACCAGGTTGTTTACTGCCCTGACCATGAATGGCAGATTTGAAGTTATCCATCAATATTTTCCCATTCGAGGTCATAGTTTTTTGCATTGCGATAGGAACTTTTCTGTCATCAAGCGCTCTTTAAGAAAGTTTGACCGAATTTACCAGAACAATACAACGATATCATTACGTCTTCCAAGAATAAAAATCCCAAGTTTCAAGTAAAACGGCTAACAAATACCGACATACTTGATTTCAAAGGCTGGTGGCCTCAATACTTTAAAAAGACTGCTAAAAATGTTGAGAAGAAAACAGTCTTTTACCATAAGCAAATACAGGCATTTAACATATACGCAAGCAATGAGAGGCTATATCAGAGCATTGACGGCTTCACCCATGTTTTTCAATACGAAAAAACAAGACAATGTGGACCTTTCCATTTCAAAAGCATACAATGGAAAAGTTCCTATCAACTATAAGAAGCTGGAAGATATTTCCAAAATAGTTCATTACATACCCGAAGACTACAGTAGCTTTTATAATGAAATTCTGGCCAATCCCACTACAAATAGAGAAACCAGTGACCCAGAATGTTGGTTGCTTGAATAAATCAGAGTTCTTCATTAACGCCCTCATATGTTTTTTTTTAACTAACTTTATGCAATTTGAGTGGAAAAAAGATAAAATTTTTGTACATTGAAATGCCAATATCTAATTACCAAATAGGTGTAAATCGTTCAAACTTTGGCATCAAATGTTCTTTGTCAATGTGTACAATTGGTCAATGATAACCATCTTTGTGAAATTAACGGTTTCGCAGATAAACAGGCTTCACTGGAATTTTATCCTTCTTCCAATCACCCATTCAATTGGAGACTAACTTTTTATTTCCGGATTTATACATAGGCTCGATAATGGCCTTTTTAAGAATTTTTGGAAGTTTTCCCGTTTCAAAACATTTATTTATAAGGTAGACTAGAGGTTTCGCTTTTGATTTGGTCATCGCCAGGAGTTTTGCCACTTTCCAGAGTTGGTAAAATTTGAGTGACTTCTTCGATATTTGTGGGCGTTAAAAAGAGTGAGTGTTTAGTTGTTGGCATAGTAAATGTGATCGTTTATGTCTTATTCGTTTTTAATTGTCTTTTTTTCAATTTCTGAAAATTTTTCTTTTTCTGTTTCATGTTTGTTAAGTACGTTTTTTAACGTTTTTCCACAGTTTTCTTAAGATGTTTGTCTAGATTTGTGATATGTAGTATACGCACTGTCAACAACTTTATTGAGGTTATACACTCAGTATTGATGAGCCTAGACAGGATTTGTTGGATATTTTTTTGTTTTATTTAGTAATTCGTATAATTTTGATTTCAGTATTGCGGGTGTAATCCAAGGATTTTTTTATTTTATTATATTTTCTTGTTATTGTTGCTGATTTTATATTTGTTTTTATGATATCTATAAAGTTTTTAGCTATTATGTCTATGTCTTTCGTTATATATACAATTCTATGTTCCATTTCTTAAAAGTTGTTTCAGTTTATTTTTGTCAATATACTTTTTATCTAGTTCAGTTTGTTTAAACAAGGTTTTGTTATTTGAAGTTTCTTTGAATGGGATATGTATGGCAATTGGGCAGTGATCTGTGATTTGGTTCAAAAATATAAATGCCTCTACTTGATCTGGAGTATTTTTTGATTTCAAAAAAACATGGTCAAGGCATGTATGTGATTGTGGTCTTGTTACATCATTTACTGTACTTATAAAGCCTTCTTCTTCTAAAATATTTTTATATGCTTCAATGTAATGTTCATCGTCAAGTAAGTCTATGTTGATGTCGCCTATCAAAATACAATGATCATGCTTTTTTTAAAACATTTTTATGTTGATTCAAAAATTCTTCTAGGTGTTGATTAAATGTATCTTCATTTGTTGATGGTGATCTATAGAGTCCTGTTATATTAAAACGTTCACTGTTAAGCTTAACTTTTAAATTTATTAGTTTTATATCTCCTAGAAAGTCAATGTTGAATTCATAGTAAATAGAGTCCTTGATATAAATGACAGTTGCTTCGTGACTGGTGACGTCGCCTTCATTATAAATTAATTTATAGCCCGGTATTGTTAAAAGTGAGGTATCGGCTAGAAGAAAGGTTTCTGTTAACACAACTCAAGAAAATGCTTTTCAAGACTTCGTATGTTTGTGTGGTATATAGAAAAATAGTTACTAGAGTTTTTTGAGATATTTATATAATCGCTAAAACAACTAATTTTTGTGGTTTTAATTTTATCACTCCGGTAATCGCGTATGTAATTATTTATTTATATTAAGAAAAAAAAGTAAAAAAAAAAAATACTATTTTTGTTACTTAGATAGATTTCTTGTCGTTCTCGAGTTCTTCAGATTGCGGTCTTCTTTTACCTCGGGTGACTCCTCTGGTTTTCTTTTCTGGCTGGTATTATTTTGAGATTGTTGATCTTCTTTGCTGCTGCTTTTTCGTCTTCTATCTCTTTTTTTCCCTCTTAAATCTTGAATGGTAAACTTCTTTCCATTGGCGAAAAGAGTATTCTTTTTATTTCTGCTGCCTGGTTTCTATTTCTGGCAGTTTGAAGATGTTTTATTAGCAGTTTTTTTTTTGTTTCTTTTGCTTAATGGCGTTCCTAAGTATATTATTATCCTTGTCCTTTTCCAGTTTTCTGAGACGATAAAAGTTTGAGATGTACAAGAGACCTGCGCGTCGTTATTTATAATTTTGACAAATTTGTCAAGATCTCTTGATATATCTTTTTCTTCCTCGCAGTTATATATCCGTAAGTTATACTGTTTAGTCGTTTTTTCCAGTTTCTCCATTCTTTCCTTCAAAAGACAATTTTCTTGTTTCAAGGTTTCATTTTCTTGCCTGATCAGCTGCAGTTCATTTGATAACTCATCCTTCACTGAATTTATCTCGCCTTTAACGTCTTCTCTGGATTGTATAATCTGTTCTTTTATCTCCTCATTTGATGTAATTTGTTTGTTTAATTGAGTATAAAAAACTATAGAATTTAGCGATAAGTATTTTAAGACTCGATCTTGTAGGTTCATTTTTACAGGTTTTGTGTACTTAAGTAATTATAATTATTAGGTTCTAATACAATATTCTATTCTTAGGTTTTTACTTTTAAAAATCACTTCTTGCTGAGGAGTTTATTTAGGGGCCATGCAGTCTGGTATCTATCTGCTAGGGCCAGCCACACACGATGACGTCTAGTATTTGAAATGGGTGGATGTGTTTATCGGTAACGATATAGTCAATTGTAGAAATGTGACCTCTAGTGTGAATTTATACTTATTGATATTTGTAGTTATTAAACCTGTTGTTGATTTGCAAAACATTGAATGCGCATAGGTCGATCATAAGTTCTCCATTATAATTTAGCTCGTTTTCATTGAACCTCTGTTTAATTAAAAGGATTATTTCATTTTCGATACAAGGTTAAATTCTCTGTTGAGTAATGACTGAATTGTGTTTCGGAGTTGGTCGTAATAGTTAGTCTTCTTGTCTTGGTTTGTTATGTTCGTGTGGGCATACTGACACTATATCCAATTTTGGGTTTTCTGCTTTTATTTTTAGAACTAGTGGACATACGTAATTGCATTCTTGTAAATTGCTTTGATGCTTCTTTTATACTGCAGTTGCTATTCCTTTTTTTGCCCTTGTTTGGTTTTACCTACTTTCTTCAGTTTTTTTTGTTGCGAGCATATATCCATTTTATTATCCTTCAGTTTCTTTGCGGTTTCTTGATTTTTATTGTCAATATAACCGCTGAGTTACTCAATCCATCCAGCGATCATGCAGGTGGAGTTGTACGCGTAACACTTAATCGAATGGAAAATTTATTTCGTCCCACATAACAATCAAAAGTTATTAACAGCTGAAAATCCTCCCACACCATTATCATCTATGCACGCACCAATAATAATATAATCTCTACTATTTATATCAGTAGACTATTTACGTTTACCACCTTATACCTATGGTGCGGCTATTATCTTGATTCGGGTTTAAACCCGAATCAAGATAATAGCTTATCAACGGGCCGCGAAAGCCTTAACCAATTTAATTTTAGTACCATTTGATACAGTACGCGATTTTCCGAATCGCGATTTTCGAAATCCATTTTATCCGAAATGAACTACTAAAAAACAATAATTCCGATTAATCGCATTATACAAAACGCGTCTGGGATCCACCTATACTGCTGGGTGGTTCCCCCGGGAGTTTCACGGCGATGTGACAGTCTAAAATGCGAAATGTTATGGTTAGCCAACAGAGTATTATAAGCGTGTAATCACGTCAATAAAAAGTTTTTCTGCAAGTGATGGATCTTATCTTATGAAGCTTAGGAAAAAAACGATTTACAAACAAATTAGAACTACAATTGTGATGGAGTTGAACTACAAAATGTTACCCTCAAGTACCTTTGCTTCAAAAACTTGATTACAAACATAGCAAAAAACGTGTCAATGTTGTTTCATCATCATTCGGCAAAACCACGAGCCTTCAAAGATATTTGCCCCAGTACTTTTTCGGTTTTGTATAAAAATAAAACAAATGCTGGATGAATCCGAATCTATTTAAAAATTGTTTTTCTGAAAATTTCTTATCAAAAGTAGAGTTTTTTTTTAAAGCACGGATATCCCAGAAAATGGATTTTCTTACTAGACTCGCCCAAGTGCGGAGAAACTTAAAACTGGGAAAATAAAAGCAACGTTTTTTCCCTCTGCTGCAACTTCTATCATTCAGCCCATGAATCAGGGTGTAGTGAAAAATTTAAAAGGTAAATACAGGCGTTTGCTTTTGGAGCATATTTTGGAATAAACTTGAAAAATATATATTGGGTGGCTTCAGCTTGAAATCAAGTAAGAAAACCTGGGAAAAAGGGGGATTTTCACACATGATGAAAGTTTATAGCAAATTATGTCCAAAATACCAGGATGTGAAAATGTTGCGGAAACACAAGTTTAGGAATCGTTACACAGGGAGACGTTGTAGACGACGAAAGGACTGAAGAAGAAATTATTAAAAGTGTTTGCAAAAAGGCTACTGAAATAAACAGTGGCGACGATGATGATGACGAAGACAATATTCCAGTTAAAATGTCACATTCAGAGGACTAGAGACCTCGGAGAAAGTGTTAAGTTCTGTAGAACAAGAAGAGAATGCAACTGCTGTGGATGTTCTTTAATAAAACGTTGGATAGATATTGCGGTTAAAAACAGAAGTAGTGCCAAACGAATGCAGTTCAAAATTACCTCATTTATAAGGCAATAAAGTCAAACATGGGATATATGGGTCGGATTTTAAGTTGCATCTAACATGTCTTTCATGAATGTACATATACTACGTTAAAAAAAATTTCGAGTAATTAAAATTAAATAAATTATTATATCTGTGTTTTTTTGTAATTAATGCACACATTCAAGTAACATATTTCGATATAAATCGATCTTATGATGTATATATCCTAAACTTCAATTTTCCAAGAAAAAAAACAGATTTATCAAAATTTCGATTATTCGAACTCACTTTGGTCCCCATTATTTCGGATAATCGGGATTGTACGTTATTTATAATAACTTTCCTAGTATTTAAAGGAATTAAAAAATGTAAAACTTAATATGCCATCGAGTTGGCAAACCCCGTATACGAAAATATGGGCTGGATGGAGAAAAGTCCGTATTGTTTAGATGAAATGAAACTGGCGTTGTTGGTCGAATCGGACTCTTGGAAGCACATTATGGGCAAAAACTTGAGCGATAGGTACAAGAAAAAGCTCACTGTAATGGTCGACTTTATAAAGGCACAGGAAAAAATTTTGAATAAACCCTTGCGGGATCTGGACGATTGTCGGTAAGGTTTGCGCTAGAGTTATTTTTAACGAGAACAAAGCATTGGGTATTTTCCGGCAGGAATGCGATGGCTTGCCTGGCGACTATAAGGGAAAACTTTATCGAAATGGACATGGATTTGAACTTAATGGAGGAGGCGTACGGCATTTTTGGCCGATTCAAAATCGACACGCCGAAAGAGGACGTTGAACGGGTCGAGTCGCTGAGGTTCAATTTTCAAAACATGATCCATCACGTAAATGACCTTTAATTTGTTTATTTATGTTGTTAGTTTTTTAAATCGAACAAAATCGTACGGGTTCGTCAAACGGTGAAATCGAACTAATTAATTTCTCATAAAATTTAAATTACCAGAACTAAAAATGAATTTGTTGAAAATATTAATTAAAGTCACTATTTGCAAAGCACTCTACACACACAAAGTTTTTTATTTTTTATTTCCGCGAAGGTACGATTCTAGTTTTAGACTCACTCAGTGCTCGCTTTTTTAGAACGCAACGCCTTCTGGCGATAGGAATTGAATAATTCACACTGTATCTGCAATCACCTTAAGATTCCCGCGTATCTCAGTTTCTTGGAACACGGACAGACGCAATATTTATCTCAGGCTTTTGTTTTTAATTTGATGTAATTTGAAATAGGAACATGTATCATATATACAATCAAATATTTTATTCACAAACCTGCAATTCAATGTCTTAAAATATCAAAAAGAAATTGAAATATCTCGACGACGAGATCATCCTATCTTATAAAAGAATTTAACTTTTTACAATTTAAAACAATCATAAAAAAGCTATATCAGAAACCTGCAGTTCTACGTTATTTAAAAGGAACTCCTCAAAAATTAAAAACGTTCACATCTTGGTCCTATAAATAAAGTAGTTTACAAGTACTAAATGGCATGGTGTAGTTAGAGGCTTGTCATTGTTGGGAATATTGTTATAAAGTTTGTCTGTTTTGATGTTCCTATAATATAGGAAATTAAATCCCTTCATAGCATCATCAATGCCCGACCTTTTTGAGGTAATATTTCATTGCAGTTAGATACAAGAATAGGAGCTTTTATATCTTTTAAAACGAACAATATATTGAAGCAATTTCTAGTCGGAGTTAAGTGTTCTGTGAATTGTTCACTATATCACTAGTATATCCTTTTAACTGTGAAGATTGTAATGCAGTTTAGGTATGGTCTGGCAGAAAGATTGGTTTCAGCGATACGAAATCAGCTTTCTATATTATCTACCCTCTACTCTTTGTCTCCCTATTCATTTTCATCACTAGTCATAATTTGCCTCCAAATAAAAATGTTGATATTTTAGAGAGAAATTAGAAACAACAAAGAGTATCCTTGATTGTGTAACTGCCGTTTTTTCTCATCCCCATATGTGCCATTCAAGTTTGTGCTTTTGTACCTAGCAGTTTACATATATTACTAAATTGGTTACATTAATTTATTCTGTTTAAAAATATCATTTTTCTACTTCCTGCTCTAAAGTACCCATCTGATCTGACTCACGCAAATGTCACTTCGGTTGTTTGCCTCATATTTATTTTGCAGGATTCAAAGAGTCTCATTTGTCCAAACCGTTTTTAGTTCTACCGGGATCTCGTCTGAGCCCCTTACTTTTTTAATAAATTTAATAATATTAATTTGATTACACTGTAAAAAACCGGCATTGTTTTTGTCCATAAACTGCCGTTCCCAGCTGCGATATTTATTATATTGTCAATAATTAATACATAATAGACGAACAGAACGACTACAGAACAGCTTTTTAAGATTTTACACCAAATTCATTTAGACGAGCGCTGTATTGAATGTTAGTAGATTAACCCTTTTAATTTCAACTGAAATAACACAGTACAAATTTTCTAAAAATGTTGGTAAAATTCTTGTGCTGTGTTCAATTCTTTGTGTCAAGTAGAAATGTATCCTAGTTCTAGGAGTACCCACTAAAGCAGATATTACAAGTTTATATATGTTTTGGAGGAGCCCACAACACACAGGATAAAGGAATACACAGATTACACACACTAATGTATTAGCACTCAGTTGAGGATATTGCTTAAATATTCCTACATTTTATTTTCTGTGTTGTCTCTATTAGTCCAAAACTGTACAAGAAAATATCAGCAGCGTTCAAGGTCCGTTATTAGAAGAACTGACAGCCGGAGTAGAGCAGTTCCAGGTGGATGTTGAAGTGTTTGATAAGGATTTCGAGGAGAAGGGACCATTGATACCGGGGTTGAGCGCTAGAGAAGCTAGTGACCGCGTCTTGGCTTTTCAAGACCGTTTTGACGAGCTCTGGCGCAAGTACGAGATGTACAGTAGCGGAGAGCGGCTATTCGGTTTACCGGTTAACGATTATCCGATTTTGCACAAGCGCAAAAAGGAGTTTGTGTTACTAAACAAGTTGTACGGACTGTATTTGGCTGTGAATCACAGTATCGACGGGTACTACGACATACTGTGGAGCGATTTGGATATAGAGGCTATATTTGGAGAGTTGCAGGAGTTTCAGAACAGGTTTGTCTCCGTCATCTCCCAAAAATGATCGACATCTCAATAAATTTAGTATCCATAATTAAAATCTTATGTAAACCAACCATCAAGCAAGCTCCCTATTTTGTTTAGTAATTCATGACTTTGAGCAAATACTTATCTAAAAATGACACTACTGTACAGTGGGTCTGAAATTCGTTGTCATTGCGGGATATCTCAGTTATGAGTAAGATATGTAGCACATTGAGAAATTTTGTAAAGATCGATTTAAAAATCAGCTTTTTAATATATTAAAGAATATTGTGATAGTAACGCTGGATATTAGAGCCACCAAATCATTAACCTGTCGAATTTAAGTAATAAGCAAACAAAGAATTAAACGGATATGCGAAAGCTGTTCGTTTGTTGACCTTGCTTTTGATCCTGTAGTTTTGCGTCTTTATCTTTGCTATTGTATTTTTCAATCCATCAAACCAATGTTTCTCGGCAGCTTTTAATTCATTTTCATGGAGCCCAATGTTCAACAAGTCACTTGATTGTCGCTGCTAATATCGATGTGCTTGGCGAAGTACCCTCTTTTGATGTTCTAGCGAACACACGTCAATATCGCGTAGATCTCTGCTTGGAATAGACTCGGATAGTTTCTCCGAGGCACAGATATCTACACCATCCTACCTCAGTAGTTCTGTTTTGGAATGTTTAAAAAAAATCTATATTTAAGTATTAACCAAAATCCAATATTCTTATCCTTTAGTACTCTTACAATCTCGAGGCGTTAATTTACCTTAATGTTTTACTACTAATATTAGTGTCACCAGTTACATTTCTGTTCTTTTACTCTTTTTATTTTTGGCTCTGTGAAAGTTCAATCAGATGGACGACCTATAATAATTGTTTGTCTGTTCGACCTTAAAACCAACAGATAAATTAGTAAAAAAGGGGAACGCTAACTCTGTGCAGAAAAGATGCCACGAACATTTACGTCACTCTTAATAAATCATTAGTGGCTCACACTTAAGCTTGAAAAATCTCATAGCGAGTGCGCCATATGGTGCAAAGTGGTAATTTGATGGGGCTAATTTGATAAACCCCAGTAACTTAGCTGAGGCTGTCGTTGCTAGTTTGATCCGATTAAGGCTTAAGGACTACAAGCTACTACTACTATTGAAGATAATTAGGTTTGTTAACAACAAAAAACGAATAATGTTTTCAGATGCCGAAAACTACCTAAAGCGATGAAGGAATGGCCTGCTTTCTTGGACCTGAAAAAAAAGATCGATGACTTTAGCGAGACCTGCCCTCTCTTGGAACTTATGGCCAACAAGGTGAATTAGTAAATAATTGCGTATTGACAAAATCGATGTAGATATTAAAGATAAATTGAAATACCGATCGCTGGTGCAAACATAGACCCGTTTTCACACATTATGGCACATTAGTATGTTTATGGTCTTATGGTTCGTTGGTAATGATGGGCCTACGGATGTAATTGTAACTGTCAGCATCCAGTCTGCTTTCTTTACTCGATCAGTTTGTGGCGTGGGGTCTCTGGTCACTCATTCAGACAAGTCCAGAAATGCCCCATAATACTATGAAACGGGCTGAATTGCTTTTCATATATTTTTAGGAATAAAATTTCTTGAAAACAGCTACACAGCAAAAACAATCCAGATATATTGTTCCTGCAGATGTGTAGCGAAAACTTCATGCTCTTCGTGGCATTTTAATAAAATGTCTGCGGGTTCGCGTTTATAATATTTTTTGTTGTTTTTTCGGAAGCAGAAGTGTTCTACAACTTGGTACGATGCAATAACGATAAATAATTTTTATTTTAAAAATAACTGAAAGCTCACGAAAAAATGTTAACTGTCCATACGAAAACGTACCTCGTGACGTCACCGACAGCTGAACTGTCCACATTACGTTTTTAGCTGAAAATTGTCCAGTTCAAATTTTAATTATTTATAACGAAGTTAATATTTCGGTTCTGGTAAAAATATCAAGGGGATATTTTATTCTTATTAAATATTTTCATTCTGAAATGTACCTTTTTATGATGTTAGGCTATGAAAGAGAGACACTGGAGAAGGATCTCGGCAGTAACTGGTTACTTTTTCGATGTCGACTCGCCAACATTCACCCTCAGACATGTAATGGAGGCGCCATTGTTGAAACACAAAGACGACGTCGAGGATATATGCATTAGTGCCGTAAAAGAGAAAGACATCGAAGCGAAACTGAAACAAGTGATCGCCGATTGGGCAGTGGTCGAACTGTCCTTTTCCAATTTCAAAAATAGGGGCGAATTACTGCTCAAGGGCACCGAAACCGGCGAGATTATAACGACCCTTGAAGATAGTCTGATGGTGATGAACTCCCTGCTGAGCAACAGATATAACGCGCCGTTTAAACGTGACATCCAGCTGTGGGTGCACAAGCTCGTTACGACTTCTGAGGTGCTGGAACGGTGGCTCATCGTGCAGAATTTATGGGTGTACCTCGAGGCGGTGTTTGTGGGTGGTGATATCGCCAAGCAACTGCCGGCCGAAGCAAAAAGATTTAACGTGGGTGAAACGTGTATATCGCCATTTGAATTGCGTTTCTGTTTAATTATAGAATATAGATAAGTCGTGGGTGAAGATTATGACGAGAGCTCATGAAGTTCCCAACGCGGTGGAATGTTGCACGGGCGATGAGACGATGGGACAGCTTTTGCCCCATCTTTTGGAGCAGTTGGAAACTTGCCAAAAGAGTTTAACAGGATATTTGGGTAATAACCCATTCTGCTTGGTACTTGTATATTGCAAAACTAAAAATTATCTCCAGTGTGTCTACTTATAAAGTATCACATTTGAACAGGTTTCAGAGAAGAAAACAAGGACAACAACAAAACACATCATTAACTTTATTACATATAGAACAAATATATTAGTTTACTAATTATGACACTAATGTGCTATTGATTAACTCCTACTTTCTTTATTACTGTATTAATAAATATTAGTAAGCTATTAATTAAATAATTAATTCTTTAGTTCTTTTGATTAACTATATATGTTATAAAACAGTAGCTTAACTCTCATTACAAATTGGAGAAGCTGAAAATAATATTCTAAATGATATTTTATAGGTAATTAAAAATAATTTATTTAAAACTTCAACTTGAAAACATGTGAGGTGCCTCATGTTCAAAACCATAAATGAAGGGTATAAGGAAAAAAACAGACATGTCAAAATTTAGTTATAGGTGCCATTAAATTCTCCGATTAAAAAAGTTTAGTTTAGAACAGTAAAACTCGAAATAAACCAGCCTAGTCCTGAGGTAACTAATATTTAATATATAGCGTAGAAGGAATGAAACAGCTTTGTCAATATCAAGGTAAAAAAAATCATCCATGTCAAATAAAATGATGCACTCTTTTTAACCGTGTTTCACCATATTCTAATAGTTGGTAAACGTTCAGCTAGTTGTTTTCGTGCGTGTGTGCAATAATAGTACAGCTAATGGTTATAACTAGCAGGGGTTAAGATGAGTCCATCCAACACAAAATTATGGACACACAAAAAAGAAAGTGAACCATACGCTTGTCCAAAAAAAAATGGATCCATGAAGTTGGACCGGCTTCTAATTACTTAAGATTAATGTGTTTTGTTGTGATTGACGAGGGGCAGAGAATCGCCATATTAGAACATTTTATTATCAGGTTTTCCACGATGAATAGAATTCATATCTAGCTGGACTAATTACGGTGGTACCTGTCAAACAAACAAGGCCGCGTCAAAATGAATAGGAAGTCTACAATGCACTGGTGCAGGTCCTAAGCACAAACGGAACAAGCATAGTGCAATTAATATTAAATTGGATGACTTAATAAAGCGTTTGGCATGTGAACACATCAAAAGTTTCAATGATCGTCAAAGCCAATATAGCTTAAGAGATATAAAAAAGGCCTATTTACCCGCAGAACTTACAACTAAAAAACTGTTTAACCTCCTTGAGTTGCTGAATCTAAATATTAAAGTCTCGTATCAAACATACATAAACATTTTTAACACCGAGTTTAATATAGCATTTAGATATCCTGGTACTGATATTTGCTCAACATGTGATGAATTTCAGACTAAGATTAAAAGCATGTCTGCGGAAAAGGATACCGATGATATTAGAGAGCAAAGAGCTGCAAAAAAATTGCAAAAGGGAAGCATTCACTTTGCAAAAAATATTTCCATTGCGAAAATTGCTACAAATAACTTATAAACGGAAATCATCCATGTATGCTTTTAGCGTTCATGTTCTTTTTTCTGGTCAATCGATATTTTATACCTATAACGAGCAAATCGCTTAAAAAGGATCAAATGAGGTGGCTTCTTTTCTTTTTCATTTCATGAATAATTATTTATAAGATGACATTGAAGAAGTGGAAAGTTTTAGCGACTTTGCAGGAGGACAAAATAAAAAATTTGTCATTTTTCGATTTATTCATTTTATTGTTGTCACCAAAATTCATGGCTTAAGGGAAATTAAAGTTACATTTCCTGAAAGACGCACTCCTATTTGTAATGTGACAAAAATACAAGACGTTGGAATTTGATAAGCACTTTGAGAATCCAGAAAAAGAAGTCATTAGAAATTGCCACTACAATTGGAATCTTTCTTGGGGTCAATGTACATACAAAAATGTGCAATTAAAACCCAGATCTTAAACGAAATAGTGTATTAACTACCCTTCAACGGACAAGTCCTATCTGTGATTATAAAAAATAAAAAAATGTGTTGGCACAGTCACAGATTTGAAAAATGGAGAGTTTATGCTGCCTTTAGTATATGATAACTGATCAGATTTACAAAGAGGAAATTTAAAATTTTAATTAGATACAATTAATTTATAAAAACATTACTTACCCGCTATATTTTCTGTTATAAAAATAAATATGACATGGCTGATTCTTGTTTATTACAGATAACATAGCTGCTTTCCTCCGTGGAAAATATTGTATTGTAAAAGTATTCAAAAGTGAGCATTTCACACAAATGTTAAAAAAATAGAATTTGAATACTTTCACTTACTATCACTTTTACTATCGTTAGTATATTATAAAGGTTAAATTAAATCGCAAAATTATAGAAATAGATATTTGGCATACTTAATAAAAGTTGAAGGTATATGTAAAATTTTTCAGAAAAAATAATATTACATATGGTGTGTCATTTACAAAAATTGATATATTCAGTTTCAAATAATCTAAATATAATTTAAATTCTTTTGAATATATCTTTTATGTCATCTTGAAATAACTCTAATCTCAAATATGAAAATAAAGGCGATATCGTTTTTTTTTAAGTGTGAAAACTACTTTTTAGAAAAATGAAAATATTCCTAAACATGTTGAAAAATTTAAAAACGAACGAAAAACAGAATTTAAAAATAGGAGGTTCCATCTAAGGGAATGTATCTTTATATTTTGTTCGTCGCTCTTTTTTGAACAACTTTATGATAATAAAATCGTTGACTCGACGCTTTTTTTAAATAGACAAAGGGTATTTTTTCTATTTGCCGCCCAACATTATTGTGTGTATGCAATCTAAACTCTACTGCCATATATCAATAAATAGCGAAACTGCATCTAAAAAGTTTTGTTTGCCCCTAATTGAATTTGAAAATTTCAGTATCCCAAGGCCACCCTGACCGACAGAGGATGTAGAAGTGACCTAAAACAACTATTGGAAACGATTTTTCGTTTTTTAGATACCTTCCCATTCTTAAATGGTTACGTTATTTGCAGAATCCAAGAGGTTGTGCTTCCCGAGATTCTTTTTCATATCTGATCCGGTTTTGTTGGAAATTCTCGGCCAAAGCTCCGACCCGACGTCAATCCAATCGCATTTACCCAGTCTTTTCGACGCCGTCTTTACCGTAAGCGGCTAACTATTCAATTCAATTCCAGAGAGCCATTGATTGGACATTGCAGGTCGATTTTGACGACAACAAAGACAACATAATAGTGGCGATGAACTCGAGTCTCGGCGAAAAGGTGCTGTTTGAAAACGCGGTGTTTTGTCAGGGTGGAGTCGAGTTTTGGTTGAACAACCTCCTGGCGATGGTCAGGGAAACGGTAAAGAACGTAATCGCCGCGCAAGCGCAGTGCTTAGTCGATCCGGAGTACGATTTTATATCCGGATTTACTCACTTCTGTGGTCAGGTTTGGGTCGCACACCATCTGCTCAAAATCTTTTAAACTGACGACAATTTAATGCAGGCCGGATTGGTCGGTATCCAATTGCTGTGGACCAAGGAGGCGGAATTTGCTATACGCCGAGCGAGAGTTGACAGGCTCATCATGAAACTGACCAATCAAAGATTCTTGGATCTACTGAACCAGCTTATCGATCTGACGTCAAAGGACCTAACCAAAATGCAACGGACTCAGTACGAAACCATGGTCACCATACACGTGCATCAACGGGACATATTCGACACGATGTGCAAATCAAAAGTGAGATCTTTGCTAGATTTCGATTGGCAACAGCAGTGCAGATTTTACTATAACGACGAAAACGACGACGTGCTGGTAAAGATCACGGACGTGATATTTTTATATCAGAACGAGTATCTGGGTATTACCGAGAGGTTGGCGATCACACCGCTGACGGATAGGTGTTACATAACGTTGGCGCAGGCCATCTGTAAGTACCGAAACCAGGGTTGTGGGTGAAAATTTAGAGATCGCTTGTAGGGATTAACATGGGCGGGGCCCCGGCCGGTCCCGCCGGCACTGGCAAGACGGAGACGACCAAGGACATGGGTCGCGCCTTGGGCAAATTCGTGGTAGTGTTCAATTGTTCAGACCAAATGGATTTTCGAGGACTGGGAAGAATTTTCAAGGTGCGTGCACCCTTTGATAGAGTATCTTGGAAATTTTGGGTGTGTTGGGATTTGGTTCTTTAAAGTCCTTCAAATAGAAATGAATACTGGGAGACACTTATTAGATGTCCCTAACATCTCCAAACTTACTATTTGCCAAACTTCTCGATTCTTCCTGCATCGATTGTTAATAAATCAAACTTGCCGACAACCGACGCAGGAGGAATCCAGAAGATTTGCAAAGGATATTATAATAGTCTGTAGAAGTTTCTTTCAAAAATTAATAGCCCCTTCCTTCTGTGGCATGATGATAAAACTTTTCTGTAACATGTTTTTTAATGAATTTATAGTGCCAATACTGATTTGTAATGTCGGATTTTGATTTGTTTAGGGCTTAGCTCAGTCTGGTACGTGGGGTTGTTTTGATGAATTTAACCGTATCGAACTGCCTGTACTGTCGGTAGCGGCACAACAAATCTACATAGTTTTGCAAGCGAGAAAAGAGCGGAAGCCAACTTTTATTTTTATGTATGTGGCCCTCCACACCAAAAGGTCAATTGCATTTAAGAGCGCTTAATTTAGGGATGGAGACAACGTTTCGATGAACATCGAATTCGGCATCTTCCTGACAATGAATCCCGGTTACGCGGGACGTCAGGAGTTGCCTGAAAATCTCAAGATCATGTTCCGCAGCGTGGCCATGATGGTACCCGACCGTCAGATCATCATCAGGGTAAAAATGGCATCGTGCGGGTTCAAGGAAAATCTCATATTGTCCAGGAAATTTTACACTTTGTATCAGCTTTGCGAGGAACAGCTTTCGAAGCAGGTAATTTCTGGACATCGGCATTATGTTTGTTCACTGTGCTTATATTAGTGATAATTTAAACGTCTATTAATTAAATGAGTCTATTCTTTATGTTCTCGCAACAAACAATTTCGTGTTCTAGTCTTTTTTTGATAGTTGTCGAATATTCCAGGCGCCCGTTTTGTGTAGATGATGTTTGAAGTTGCTGTGTCCAATTATCTTTTGGACATTTTCGGTATTTCTAGTAGACATAATAACGTTTCAGTAGGTTTTATTTTCGAGTTTGTGTTTGTTTTTTGTCAGAATTCTGTTTTCTTGTAGCTGTTTGACAGGTGATATTTGAAAGTTTGTTTTTAAGATAGGGTTTTTCTAAATCGTCTATTATAGAGTTGCTTCTTATAGAACCCTCAATGTTCTAGACTCTGCATTAACTTCTTTATAAATTGGCGAAATTATTTTTTTTTATTATCAACTTAGTGGACTACGGAATGACGAAACAACCGATTCGACAGCTTATGCCATAAATGTCGTGTCAAAATTATCATTATGTATATATATATATATATATATATATATATATATATATATATATATATATATATATATACTTGTTTGGCAAACTATAAGAAACAAATTTCGTTAGGGATAAATTGTTTAAAATGGAAATGTTGAGTCAGGGGTAGATAAGAACTGTAAATCGAATTCATAGGCTAGACCGCACCATTTCTACAAAAATTGTTATGATCGACAGGAACAAATATTAAGTGTGATACATCAGCTATACCAAACTTTTTCTAGCAACTTTGAGTGATAACTCGATCAACAGATGTAAAAAAAGCATCAATTAAAAAGCTTTCTACATTAAAACAAAACAGCACCTTTGTACAGATCTCAGTTGTCTCGAGATTAAAGACCTACGTGTTCGGTGTTTGCTAGTCTGGTCTTGTTATTATTTAAATCATATTTACACCCCTGAAATGATTTCCAATACATTTTTAAAAACTTTCTAATGGAAATTAAAATTGCCAAATTCCTTAATTCCTTCTAAGGTTATAGAGTTAGTTAGTTGTTCACATTTTTGTAGAAATTAGTAAATTTTAATATCAACTGCAGAACAAACTAACCAAATTTAACACAAATTATTGATTCTGGTTAGAGTAGTTTTGTCTTTATTGTACTTCTTATTCGTCCGTTGTTGAATAAATAAATGAGGTTGTATGTATACCTCCGTCCTTTTTTTCTGATGCCGTTTCGAGCTTGGGAGCTATTTCTAATGGTATCTACAGAATGCAGTGGTGTAATACCATGCCAACCCACAAACGCAAAAAAATTAATATAACTTTACTTTAGAACTTGTATAAATTCCTATGGGTATTAAACACATTCAAGTGTTTTACCTAACAGGTGCATTATGATTTTGGTTTACGCAATATTCTTTCCGTTTTGCGAACGTTGGGAGCACAAAAACGAGCCCATCCCGCCGATACGGAGGAAACTATAGTCATGAGAGTGTTGAGGTAAGCGATGCATTTATCGATAGTCCAGATTTCAGCATCAATATTTAAGGGACATGAACCTAAGTAAGCTAATAGACGAGGACGAACCGCTTTTTCTCTCCCTTATCGAAGATATGTTCCCGGGGATAAAATTGTCCACTCATGCCTGGAAGGAGCTGCAAAAAGCCATTACCAACGTATGTCAACAATCGGGTTTGATCAATCACCCCTCGTGGAATTTAAAAGTCATTCAACTTTACGAAACTTCTTTGGTGCGTCACGGGCTCATGGTGCTGGGTAGGTTCTAAGTTATTTTTGGTATCTACTTTGTACAATAAATGGTATTCTAGGACCCACCGGAGCTGGAAAAACGAAATGCATGCATACCTTAATGAAAGCCATGACGGAGATGGGTCTCCCACATAGAGAACTAAGAATGAATCCAAAGGTAGACGTTATTTTGTAGTTTGACTTATACAGGGTGTTTTCTAAATTTAATGACGGGGCGATCTTTGGGTCCATTTTATAAACAAAGCTTCATATGAACCTATGTCTCATACGTCTTAACTTTTGAGATACAGGGTGGTAAAATTTTTATTAGATATTTTAATCAAACTTGGCACACATGTACTCCTCTAATTTCCCTTAAAATAAAAATTATTCTTACAATCTCTAATCATTTCTACACAAATTTAAATTCTTGATTATTTTCTTTAAAAAAATGAAAACTCCTTCTCTGCATGGTCATAACAATATCGTTAATATGACAGTATGCAGAGGAATTAGTGCGACGGATTAAATAAAATTTAAGAGATAAAATCTGCTCATCAGTGAAACCAGTGGAGTGCCACTGACTGCTTATCAGCAAATAATATTTTGGTTAATTACTTCGCCACTGTACCGGTTAAATCGAGAACTTTTTTTGCGAAAAATAAAATATCCATTTGAAACAAAATATCTAGTTTTTAGTTACCAACTAGTGTCCATCAGAAAAAAAAATTATAAGACTTTTTTTTACTTTAACAGTTTGAATGAAATAACATAACATCCTTACAACGAGGTAAACAATCAATAATAACAACCTTTTTGAAAAAAAGTGGAACATAGACACTAAATAAGTTGTTGAAAGTGTCCTCCACCTTGCAGGAAACAGACTTGAGCTCCTTTCTTCATATTGCCGCGCACTCTTTGAAGTATACCTCCAGTGTTTTTTATTAAATCGCTGGAAGCTCTTATACAGTGTTCACTGGGGTGCGATCAACTAGACTCTTAAGATGCCCCCATAAGGGATCTGGGGACCGCGACCTACCCATTGGTTAGTTTTTAGATTTAAATATTCTCTTAGTGCAACACTAAAGTGAGCAGGCGTCGTCATGCATGAACCATATTCTGTTCCTAATTAAATATGATACTTATTCTAGTAATATTGCCAAATCCTCTTCTAAAAGCCGGCGATAATTATGACAGGCAAAGGATCCAATTAAGTAATTTCCAACAATTTCAGCCCAAACATTTACCGAATGATCTTCATATTTAAATTCTACAACTGCATTTTGGTTCTCATCGGCCGAAATGTGATTATTGTGGAAATTTTTGATTGCATTTCTGAAAAAGTTAGCTTCATATATAAATAGTATTTCTTGATCAAACAAGTGAAAAACCATTGACAAAAATTTACACCCAAGGGAAAAATTCTGGGAAGTAACGCCTGGACTTGTGAAAATTTCTCAAACCAAGACCAAGTATTTTCGTCAATAGAATTTAAGACTGTTTCTTCAACTTCCGGAGTTCTTACAATTCGATGGGCCCTTTTTAAATGATTATTTGCCCACAATGTATAATCGCTTATTATAGACATAGCCTACTACAATGATAAACAATAATTATAAAGATTTCAAAAATACACCTCAGTGTTTATGTAGTTCGTATTCATGCTTCGATTTTTTAAAGTCTTTTAATAGATAGAAAATTACTTAAGAAATATTAATGATAATAATTCTCTGTGTGCTGCCATATTAACGATATTTTAATATTTTTTATTTTAAGAGAAATTAGTGGCGTACCATCTTGTCTGCAAAATAGATAGATGGAATTCGGGAAGCCTGCTGATACATAGTACATGTGTGCCAAATTTTATTAAAATATCTAAAGTGGTATTACAGATATTAAAAAATATATATTTTATTTTTGAAATATTTACCACACTCTATCTCGAAAGTTAAGACGTTTAGGACATATGTTCATATGACGTTTTTTTTTAATGGACCCAAAAATTGTCCCCTTTATTATTGACATTCAATTAGAAAAAACGCTGTATATTTTATAATTACGGTGATACTTTAGGCAATCACAGCCCCGCAAATGTTTGGTAGGCTCGACGTGGCCACCAACGACTGGACTGATGGCATATTTTCTACTTTGTGGAGGCGAACGTTGAAATTTAAGAAGACCGACTACTGCTGGTTAGATTTTATTTATTATCATGCGCCAAGTTTTCTTAGTTCTCGATTAGGTTGGTACTGGACGGACCGGTGGATGCAGTTTGGATTGAAAACCTCAATTCGGTATTGGACGATAATAAAACGTTGACGCTCGCAAACGGCGATCGTATCGTAATGGCCGCCAACTGCAAATTGGTTTTCGAACCCGACAATGTTGACAACGCTAGCCCTGCTACGATTTCGAGAATGGGTATGTCTGACTCTTTGTTCATCTATTTTCATATAGTGGTAGTGTATGGTGTGGGTAAAAACTAAATTTTCAGCAAAATCTTTGTGAATTTTTCTGGTGTAAGTTTGATCTATATAAAAACCTGTAATGTAAAAAAATGTAAACAAAATGGCACCCAGTCATTGGAAAAAATCCCGAAAAAAAATGGCTTAATACCGGGACTGAAAATGAACGCTAGAAATCCTGAAGTGTTACAGCATCACCTACAAATTGGAGTGGTACCAAAAATGACGCGACAGTTGGGAGAGAAAACGTTCCTAGCTGAATTGAATGCAGAGCAAGATACAATAATGGTTATTGGAAACAAATATAAACTTCGATTAGTTAAGAAATCAAAGGGAAGGAAACTTAAAATTGCGCACAAAAAGCTATTAGCAGAGATGAGTCAAAGACCAGGGAATACTAAAGGAATCCGAACCAGAAAACTGATACAAATCGTTTTCAGGGAAAATATTACAAACTTGGTAACGAACCCGGCTATGGTAAAGGAATTCAGGAGGAACGAAGGTCCACAAAAATACAAAAAAACAAGCTTGGAACTATAAAACCACAAGATAAGAACGATGAACTGACAGGTGGAGAACATATTTTCGAAGTTGGATGAATAATCCTGGAACCACAACTAGAGCAATCTCATAGAAGATTCAAAAAACGAAGAAGCATACACGACCACATCTTCAGTATCAAACAAATTATGGAAAAAGTACAAAACAGCGATACAGAGAGCCATCTAGCTTTCCTAGACTCAAAGAAAGCATTTGACAAATTTCCAAGATATGCGGTGAAAGAGAGTTTGATAGAGCGAGGGCGTTGAAGGAAGACTAACTTCAGCCTAATGTCCATGTAACAAAAACTGCGTCAGAACCAACAACATGGAATCAGAATACTTCCCATTAAATGAAGGCGTTATTCAGGAAAGCGTTTTGAGTCCGCTACTATGTCACTTGGTTATGGACGATGTAATAAAATAAAAACAAGAACCAGTACATCCGGTTTCTTAGTAGGCTATAAAGATGTGGAACCCATTTGAATACGTGAGTGTGCGTTTGCAGATAATGAGGTTGTATTTGCAAGAAATGAAAGTGAACTTAAGACCTACAAATCGGGAAAAACAGGTTTAAATGAAAAAAAAAACATAAAATGAATGAAGCAAAAACGAACATTATGGTTACATACATAAATAAGAATAGAGCAAGTTGAACTTTTTAAATATCTGGAAGTACAACTATATAGTAACGGATACCACTTAATAGAAATGCGAGAATAGAGATTGCCTCAAGACTATTTTACATTTTAAATTTAACCTTCATATTAAGGAAGGAAATATGAACTAAAACCAAAATAACTATATACACGACAATATTCATTCCAACTTTACCATTTGAATGCGAAAGGTGTCTACTTACCCAAAAGGCAAAAACTAGGATTTAAGGCACTCAGATGAAGTACCTACGCAGGGTCTTAGTCATCACAAGGAATCCGAAATGACGCCGATTAGAGAACAGGTTATCAGAATATAGAGAATATACTAAGACAGAGAGGACTGGGATAATGGAAGCAGCTAAAATGGCACTAGATAAGAAGATGCACCTTACACATACACTAAGATACACCTTAGGATAGATAGGTTAAGGTTAAAAGGTAAACAATAAAATTCTAGATTTAATAATTGCTCAGGTGCATTGTACGGTGCAAAAATGTGTATATCATATTGTGGGTGATTATGCCCACTATGTGCCCCATGAACTGGAGTCGCGTTCTACTAGTGATAAGCCTTTTTATAATGTAAGGAGAGCAGATTTTCTTTAATGTATTCAGATAATCTTTAATGCATTCTAAACTGAGACTTGTGAAGATATTGGAGTAGTTTTCGGTGTAAACATGGCGATGAATTTAATTTCCCAAAATGTTTTAACAATTTTTAATAAACATCTTCCTAAAAAGAAACTTAAAAAAATCCAGAGTTGAATAAAATAGGGTTACGGATGACCATAAATTAAATTAGATCTGTTTATTTACACACTAGTAACCATAATTTTCAAGTAGGTTTCTCTGAAAATTCTTAAGTTCTCCTATATCTCTTATCCGTCCTGGAAAAAGACGTTATTACTGCAATATCAAAGATAAAAAATAGGAAAATACTAGGTCATAACCACTTTCCCCGTTATATTTTAAAGGGTTGTGAAGACTATCTGGCCAACCATTTGACTTAATCTTTAGTCTAGGAATAATGTCACAAACATTTGCAACTTAAAAATAGTTGGAATAGAATTATCGCCCTATAGTTGTCTTATCTAATGTGGCAATTATTTTCGAAAACATCTTAACAGCTCGATTAAGTGTACACATAAAGACAAAGTTATCAGACTTTCAGTGTGGTTTATAAAAACGTATAACCTGCTGATCATATTAATTTCTAGACACACACATTTCTTTAACAAATTTTATCATATATTTCATTTTGTCTATTAATATCTTTTTTTTCTATTAATAATATCTATATGTTAACTCAATTATTTCAATAACTTATTTAAATTTATATTTTCATTACATTTTTTTCATATTAAGTTTATTTATACAATTATAATCTTTTTTTTTTATTTTTTAATGTTTTAATAATTTAACTCCAAAAAAATATCTATTTAATTTTATACTGTATATTTGATTAACAAATATTACTTCATTAATGGGACTACTGTTACTATTTTTCTTTAAATTAAAAAATTTATGTTTAAGAGACTCTTAACCTTCAAAGTTAATAATATATTTATTTCTAATTCTTAATTTAGTAAACTATAAATGTTAACTTCCTTTGAACTGAAAATCCTATTTTCTATTGACCATATAGTTTCACAATTTATTAATTTTAATGAATAAATGATTATATTAACTAATCACAAAGATAATTGGTACACTATATTAACATTCCTAAGTTTTACTTTCCGAATCGAATTAAGAAGTCCAAAAACTTTTTTTGTTTTTGACTTCTACCTCGCTGCCTAACCTTTTTAGTAATTTGTAGAATTATTAAAAAAGGAAAGGGTTTTACGGTCTACCTTCCTCTAGCATCTAATATTGCCCACAGAGGTAGATCAATTGATTTTGCAAGTTTTAGCCGACACTTTGCAGGAATTCCCTCTATTATAGGTGCTACTAATTTGATTAATAACGAATAAATTAATATTAATTATGAATATATACCCCCTAATATACCAAGAGATACGATTTCTCTATTAACTTGGGCTTTTGTGTTACTGCTCTTTTATTACTTCCTTCTCTACCTGTTCTCGCAGCAGAAATAACCATATTACTAACTGATCGAAATATCAATTCTTCATTTTTCCATCCAGCCGGTGGTGGAAACCCAATTTTATATCAACATCTATTTTGGTTTCTTGGTCATCCAGAAATTTATATTTTAGTTTTTCGAGGACTTGGAAGAATGTCTCATATTGTTTGTTTTTCAAGAAAGAAAGTAAAAAGACGCTTTTGGAAATTTAGGAATAATCTCTGCTATAATAACAATTGGACTAATAGGATTTTTAGTTTGAGCTCATCGTATATTTACTTTCGGTGTTGAAGTTAATACATGGGTTTACTTTATTTTGACTACTAAAATTATTACTTACACTCTATGGAACTAAACTAAATTTTTAATATACTACACTATTTTGCGAAATCTAATAGATTTTACAGAATTTGTTACAAATATCATTGCATCTGGTGTCTTTACAGATTTTGAAAAAGATTTTGACAGGGTTCATCATATGACAGTAATATTGAAACTAAGTCAGGACTGATGCCTTTTATTGCACTCTTATTTATCAATTAATTTTCAATGAACATGAACTAATAACAAAATAATTTTTCAAACACGCTTCATCAGGCATGGTGTTTATGAGTTCGTCGGTGCTTCCTTGGTCGCCAATTTTAGATGCGTGGCTGAAAACTAGGGCCAACCATGAAGCCGATACTTTGCGTTCCCTTTTCGGAAAGATTTTCGAAGACTTACACACCTTCGTCCAGACAAAACTGAAACCCAAAATGGTTATCAAAGAGGCTCTTTACATCAGGCAGTGTTACGACGTACTTCAAGGAATCTTAGATGTATCTGACGAACCGAGTAAGTAGACTCGATTTCTCAGCTTGCAGCTCGTTACAAGGCTTACTCTGCAACGCAGGAGTATGGACCGATAAACAGTTGGAGAGGTTGTTCCTTTTTTCGCTTATGTGGTCGCTCGGTGCGCTGCTAGAGCTCGACGACAGATCGCTGCTCGAGGCGTTTGTTCTCTCGCATCCCTCCAAGTTTGATTGGCCGAAATGTAAAGAGAACGAAACTATTTTCGAGTACGCGGTCAGTTCGGACACTGGCAGGTGGGACCATTGGAGGCAGAGAGTGGAGGATTTTGTCTACCCAAAGGATTCAGTTTTGGAATTTACCAATATATTGGTGCCCAACGTGGACAACGTGCGGAGTGCTTTTCTTATCCACAACACCGCCAAACAGAACAAAGCTGTTTTATTAATTGGTAAATCCAAATTTATACGGGGTGTTTCACGGCTGAGGGTCGCAAACGTCGAAGGGTGCATTGGATTGTTCTAAAAAAATTGTTAGCTCCATAAGCGATCTAAAATATTTTTAACGCTGCAGCGTTGCCGCTTCTTCGAAAAAGTAGCATCAACATTAAAGTTTAAAATTCGACTCCATGTATATTATTGCATTTTGTGACACGCTAATACTTTATAATTGTTTTTAAATAATTTCCTATACCTATCTTTTCAGCGGTTTTTGAGAAAATGATTATTATCTTCACTTTTCCAATAGCTGCAATTAAATGTTTATGACTGCACTGAAGCCTGTAGAAAGTTAAAATTTGGAACATAGCTTAGTGAGGCATCGAACAGAATTTGTTAATATCGAAATTAGTTCTACATTATACAGGGTCGGTCAAACTAATGGTTTGCCTACTAGATACAAAAATGGTGAAAAGTGCATTTTATAAATGGAACACCCTGTATATTCTCATATATTCTAAGAGAAAATGTAGCTATCCCTAAACCTTTTCTGGTTTCTGGAATAAACGTCGATAGACTTTCAAATGCTGATGTAGTTATTTGTCACGTCTGGCTGATCTCTGGCGGACTTTTGATTGAAATTTTTCGACCTGTTTCTAACATTCTTGCACCTTATACTCTAAACATTTGCTGTCTCGAGAGAAAGTTTATTTTTAACCATTCTTAGATGTTGAGAGATTTTAAGACAAGTAGGCAATCTAATTTAAATATTATTTTTTAAGATATTTTTATATTTTGAAGATACGCATGCGGAATAATCAAAAAAGAAACTGCCTGAGCCATTTATACAGGGTGTTTTCTAATTGAATGTCAATAATTAATTGGGCGATTTTTTTGTCCATTTTAAAAAGAAAACGTTATATGAACATATGTCCTAAACGTCTTAACTTTTAAGATTCAGGGTGGTAAAATTTTAAAAAATAGTGATAGATAATAAATCTCTAAGGCGTTAAACTTAATGATTGCACAAAAATTAAATAGTAAAAAGAGGTTATTTGACGTAAATCGAAAACAAAATACAAAACAACTGCTTATGCCAAGCACACGCAGGGCAAGTGACTGCCCTGCGGCTGACAGGTTTCAGCGAGCGTTGTGTGCGTGGACGGTGGCACCCTCTCACCGATCGTTGCTGGTCACTTGCCGAACTACGGCCCAGACTCGCGATCCCCATTATGAAAAACAGCCAGGAGCGCGAGTGTTGACTGGTGATGCTAACACGGCCAATCCTGACACTTCGGCGTCCCGACGATCATCCAACAATCTACTCTGAAAATCTATATTTTCATTCAGAGAACCACATTACGTAACAAACACAGCTTGGTTTAACAGAATCAACGACATCGTGCTACCGACCGCCTTAAACAACACGTAACAGGCGCATTTATTTACAAAGCATAAGATTTCAGCCCATAAATTGGCTCATAACTCAACATAATAAAATAGTTCGATAATCATTAAAACATGACATTGACTCAGAGGCTGAGACTAGATCAACTGAAAATATTAACTTTAATTATAACAGTACAGTTTAAACACAGATTCAGAGGCTGAGTCCTGTGGCATGGCTATGACGTGTCTGACGCAAAACACGAGCTCAGGAGGCCAAGGCACTTCAGCATGATCAAAACATTAATAGATCAAAACAATTCAACAAAGTTTAATGATACAACATTACCTCACTTTTAAGATTATCTAACTCATTCCATTTCGGCACTCGAAAACTGTCGATTTACAGGTCCAGATTTAGTCAAACGATCGGTCAATGTAGTTAAAAGAGCTCGCCGTTCATTAGAAAAAAAATTCAAAAGAGGGTATTTGGATCGATGGAATGCTCACTTTTGGTTTGTCGACAATCCTTATCCCACAAAGAAATGGGATTTTCAAAGAAATTTAATTTAAATATGTTTTGATTGTTAAAAGATAAAAAAGTAAGTTTTTTGCAAATTACCTTCAAATATTAAGAACAATGGTAAATGATTTTCTCGAGAATCCTGGTTTTCATAACTTCGAACCGTTTTGGCCGTGGGATTGACCAGCAAGATCGCTTGATCTCAGGGCATTAGATTTTTATCTATGAACAAGTAAATCCTTCTGAAACGGAACACTTCAAACATCTAATGTAAAAAATGGATCCATCTTTTTGTGTGCAATTTTTATTTTCAGTACCTAATATTGTTTTAATGTAAATAGCTTTTAACATGTTTTTCGAAAAATGGTTTGTAAAGCTTATGTTAATTCTGGAAAGTTTTCTCTTGCTCGTGTGATATAAATCACGTTAGGTGTCATTAATTTTTTGCATGTTCTGGATATAGTTGCATTTTCTGTGTATATAAAACAAATTTATTAAAACATTTTGAACGGATTTAATCGACAAAACTTTCACCATAATCAATAGTGAATAAATCTTTATTGAACTGGCCAACGTAATCCAGTTTTCAGAGAAACTTATTTCAATTTCAGAAATTTAATTTTCTCTTTAATATACAAATCATTAGTTTTGACCAACCTTCTATAATGTAGAACTAATTTCGATATTAAGAAATTCTGTTCAATACTTGCCTAAACTACGCGTATAATTTTAACTTTCTACTGGCTCCGGTGTCGTAGTAATAAAAATTTAATCGAAGCGATGTTTTGGTCGAAAATTAAAGAAACTATTTTTCTCGAAAATCATTAAAGATAGATAAAGGAGCGTATTATTCAAAAACAGTCATAAAGTGTTAGCGGATTGAAAAATGAAATAATATACATGGTGCCCTATTTAAAATTTTAATTTTGATGCTATCTTTTTGAAGAAGCGGCCATGTCGCAGCTTTAAAAATATTTTAGATCGATAGAGTGGAACTAACCAAGTGTTCAACCAACCAACACCCCGTATATTGGGAAATAATCATTTGCTTTCTTCACTTTAGGTGAACCCGGTACCGCTAAAACCGTTATGATCAAAGCTTACCTCTCCACTTTTGACTTAGATTACAAACTGAGCAAGTGTTTTAATTTTTCTTCAGCCACCACGCCTAACATGGTCCAGGTGATTCACCTTAAATATTTGTTAAATTAAAACTCACCATTTTAACGTACTGCTTTTAGCGAATCATCGAATCTTATGTAGACAAAAGGGTTGGTACTACGTACGGACCTCCGGCTGGCAAAACGCTTACCGTTTTCATAGACGATATTAACATGCCGGTAATCAATGACTGGGGCGATCAGATCACCAACGAGATCGTACGGCAATTGATGGAAAACGGTGGATTTTACAGCCTGGATAGACCAGGCGATTTCTCCTTTATTGCCGACGTCATGTTGTTGTCGGCAATGATTCATCCGGGCGGTGGTCGAAACGACATTCCCCACCGATTGAAGAGACAATTTTGTATCTTTAATTGCACTCTGCCGAGCACCAGTTCAATGGATTTGATATTCAGTAATTTCAATTTTGCTGTTTTTCTTTTTTTATGTTGACTACTATACCATGATAAGCAATTACACAACTATACCCTGTAAACATGAAAAGAAGACATATTTCGAGATCAACGAGGACATCTAGTATTGTTAGTTGGTCAAATAACCATTCTCTCAAGATAAATGCCAAAAAAAAACTAATGGAACAAAGAAAAATAAAAAGAACTCGTCGAACAAGACCTTTCATAAGTTGATAATTACAGTATACGTCCCGTTCCACAAGTTAGAAACCTTGTATTGACAGTTGACAGCTCTTTGAGATTTAAACCACACATAAACAATTGCCTTAAATCGGTACGAACCCTGCGTTAGACATACGGAGAATTCAGGTAATGCAAAATTCGTGTTTGTGATATCAGACGAAGATAACATATTTCTCATAAATTATGTGGTTGAACATGAAACGGAGAAGAATCCTCCATGCCGCGTGTATGTTTCATAAAATCGTATTAAACATAAAGCCATCCTATAGTATAATAGTGGACGCCCATTCAACATTAATATTATACAGACATATGCTCCAACAGCAGACAAACCAGCAGCGAAAAGAGAAGAATTCTAAGCTCAATTAAGGGACATATATAGGTGATTATATATATATATATATATATATATATATATATATATATATATATATATATATATATATATATATATATAGGTGATTAAGAAAAATGAGATAACCATTATAATGGGTGATATGAACGCAAAGATTGGTCAGGGCCAAGTTCAGGATACCGTTGGTAAATTTGGATTAGGCGTGAGAAACGAAGCAGGAGATCGATTGCTAGAGTTCTACCAATCCTTGGCAATACATAGTTCCAGCTACTACCAAGGATTCTATACACTTGGAAATCTCCGCAGGATAAGGATGGTCAATTTGTCAGGAATCAGATTGACTATATAATGATTAACAAAAAATTTAGAAACTCAGTAAAATCAGTGAAAACTTACCCTGGAGCTGACATCGTGTCGGGACACACAGGCTAAAAACAATCTGGGAAATAAAATTAATGACAACCTAAGGTTAATGGCCCAAAATAAGGACGACGATGAATGCACACTATGGGACAACATAAAAGGAATTTTACAACAAACCAACAAACAAAAAGGAAAGAATGGATGACCGATGAATCCTGTGCTTAATGGAACAAAGACGGCAAAATAAAAATAATAAAGTCAGATACAAACAACTACAGCGAGAAATTAGAACAAAAATCAGAGTAGCAAAAAATATTTGGGCAAACCAAAAATGTCAGGAAATTGAAGACCTGGAGAAGAACCACGATAGCTTTCAATTAATAACCAACCCATAGAGAGAGTACACCGCTTTAAGTATTTGGGAAGCTGGATAAATGACGAGTGGGACCCAGATGAAGAAATTAAGACAAGAATAGAGATAGCCAGGAGCATGTTTTTTAAATTAAAGTCGCTTCTCACAAGTAATGATCTTAACCTGAAAACACGCAGGAGAATAACACAATGCTATGTTTTGACTACCCTACTTTATGGTGCTGACTTTGAAGGTCTCCAGCATGCGAAGGGTGAAAGCTTTTGAAATGTGGCTCTTTAGACGGATCCTTATACCATGGACGGATCGTGTAACCAACGAAGATGTGCTAAGACGAATGGACAGAGAACGAGAATTACTAACCACTGTCAAAAGAAGGAAAGCCTCCTATTTTGGCCACATTTATAGAAATAAAAAATATGCCGTATTACAGCTGAGCATGGAAGGAAAGATAGATGGCAGGCGCGGTCTGGGTAGAAAAAGATTTTCATGGTTGGAAAACCTTCGAGATTGGTTCCATGTACGTGATGCCGTAAATCTAATACGTATGATTGAAGATCGCGAGGAATTCCAAAGCACGATTGCCAACCTTCACTAGATTGAAGCAGGCACTGGAAGAAGAAGAGATAGTATAACCTGATTTTCCCTCGTAATAATCGCCAATTAATTTCCTTCATAGGTTCTGAATTCCTAAAGATACAACAGAATTTTTTCGTTTGAAATCAGTAAAGTGTATAGTAACTATTGTGATTCACTGAAGCAGAAAACTTGTCACAGTTAAAAAAAAAACTTAAAACACCCTCTTTTATCAGAACGATGTTTATCAACTAGAAAAGTAATTAGTATTAAAAAAGAAATAAATAAAAATAAAAATAAAACCTAGTACATAAAAGCAATTTTGAGTGCTTCAAAAGTCAATAAATGTGCATAATTCTAACCAATTTGTTTAATTGATAATTATTATATTTTTATATTTATAGAGGGTGTTTTCTAATTGAATGTCAATAAGTAAGGGGGCAATTTTGGGGTCCGTTTTAAAAAGAGAACTTGGGTAGTAAAGTTTTCAAAACAAAAATATATATTTTTTAATATCTGTAATACCACTTTCTTGTAAAACAGTCAATTGATCTTCTGCTTCTTTTTGGCACATTTTTTACTTTTGTTAGTAAAATTTTTTGTTTCGTATTTTGCTGAATTGTGCTGGAAAATAAAGCCCAATTTATTTATTATATTTATTGTTTAATACTCACTTTCTTGGACCACACACAATGCACTTTCAATTCAAAACAAGTTCTCTAGTAAGCTCGATCATTGGATTTGAATATTGTTTTCAGGTGAAATCGGTTGCGGCTATTTTTGTATCGAAAGATTTAACGAAGAAATTGTCGAATTTTTGCCCAAAATGGTACCGCTAACCCGCCACCTGTGGCAGAAGACCAAGCAAAAGATGCTACCCACTCCCGCCAAGTTCCATTACGTTTTCAATTTGAGAGACTTGTCCCGTATATGGCAAGGAATTCTCACTGCGCAACGTGACGAATGTTCCACCAAGGAGTCTCTGTTGAAACTATGGCGGCACGAGTGTGAACGAGTAATATCAGACAGGTGGGTTTCGATTATTTTGAAAAGCCACATCGTTTCTAATTGCGTATCGCTAATTACTGTGACCTTCTCTTTCACTAGATTCACAGTTGTAAGTGATAAAGAGTGGTTTATCAATGCGTTGAGACAGCAGGCTCTTGAGGAACTTGGCGAAGACTTGGAGCACTACACGGAAGAACCGTCATACTGGGTGGATTTCTTGAGAGATCCTCCTGAAGCCACCGGCGACGAGCCTGAGGATTTCTGCTTCGATGCCCCTAAAATTTACGAAGAGATTCCGTCGTGGAGTTTTTTAAGAGAAAAGTTGTACGGTAAATTATTTTATAAATTCAGTTCATCAGTTCAAACTATTGATCAAACAAAACAACAAACCCTACGGAACACGAAGATTTAAGATTCATTAGCACAGTAGCATAGTACATTCGAAAATTTCTTGACAATCACCAAATTAACCAGCACAGCCTTAGTAAAGATCTACAATAACACCAGCGAACACGTGAATTTAATTAAAGGAAAGGGGACTGAAAAATTCGATACACATTGTTTTTGTCAATGTAGAGGGTGAATCAACGACAGGTAAAATTTGTTATCTCATTGGATTCAAAAGTTATAAGAAAATAGTAAATACAAAAGTGGTAAAGATTGTTCGGATGCACAATATATAATTATTTTAAAGTATACAGGATGGTTTAAAAAAGCGTGGGGAATAAAAGACACATTTTTTTAAAATAGAATACCCTATGTTTAAGTTTTCTTATGAATTTGTTTTGAAATTCTTAAAAACTTTTTAAATAATAATACATACCTAAACCCCACAGTTTATCCAATATTTCGATTTTTCTCAAAATATAGCAATTTTCACACTTTTTACACACACAAATTACGATAAAATAATAATAATAATGTGTTTTTCTGTGTTTAAGTGTGTAGCATAATTAGAATCTAGACTATTGTCTTTAAACGCTCTTTTATGTTCGTTAATGCGTTTCTTGAAGGATCTACCTATTTGTTCAATATAAAAGTTTTCTATGGTGGTATGGATACGTGGATGATGTCTTTCCTTGCTTTGTTGGAACGGACAGACAATTGAACTCTTTTTTAAATTACATTAACTCAATACATAATCGTATAAAATTCACTATTGAGATTGAACAGGATCACTCTATTAATTTTTTAGACTTAAATATTACGAAAGCGCAAAACAAATTAGATTTTTCAATATATCAGAAACCTTCACACACGGATACAGTCATACATAACAGCTCAAATCACCCTTATACACACAAAATGGCTGCATTTAACTCTTTTATACACAGACTTCTTAATATGCCACTCTCAACAGAAAATTACAACAAAGAACTTATTATCATTAAACAAATTGCACTCAACAATGGCTACAATCCGTTCATTATCGATAAAATTATAAATAAAAAACAAATCCAGACAACAGTGAACTCAATTTATCCGAAACCTAATACAGAACACGAACAATTTAAAAGAATTCCATACAGAGGAGAACCCAGTGAAAAAGTTTAAAAACATTTGTCAAAATCTGCTTTAAAAATAGCTTTCAGAACTAACAACACAATAGGTGTCTACAGGTTGAAATGCGGATCATGTCCTAAAATTTATATTGGACAAACAGGTAGATCCTTCAAGAAACGCGTTAATGAACATAAAAGAGCGTTTAAAAACAATAGTCTAGATTCTAATTATGCTACACACCTAAACACAGAAAAACACATTATTGACGACAATTTGGATATTTTACATGCAGCCACAAAAAGTATAAAACTGAATTTATTGGAAGCCATGAATATTAACAAAATGAGACATTCAAATGTATTGCTTAACGAGAAATTAAATTTAAATACCTCCTACCTTTATTGTCACACTTCGAAGTGTTTTCGGAGCGCGAGCATTGAAGATGCCAAGTGAGATTTTGGCGAAACGTCTGCAGGATTCCAGTCGGATGCAAGATTTGCAGGATTCCAGTCGGATGCAGGATTCCAGTCGGAGTTCAACGAGCGAACGGATGATATCCCGGAATATAGTGTCATCATATATATATATATATATATATATATATATATATATATATATATATATATATATATATATATATATATATATATATATATATATATATATATTGGTTCCTTTTGGTTCTTGGGTTAAAAGCGATTAAACGGTCTTAACACTCATACTAGGGACGGGGTGCGATCGGAATGTTGCAATATAATAACTAATTAAAAAAATAAGTTTAACAAAAACCCAAAAAAAAAAAACAGATCAAAACAAACAAAATTCAAAACTATGCGCTTAAATTAAAAAAACAAAACGTTTCTGAAACAACATAAAGAACTCAAAATTTTGATAAGAGATAAAACCTGGGAAAAAAAGTTATACATTTCCCATAGCACACAAGGAATCCATCCCTCTAAGACCAATAGTATCATGTATCCAATCACCCTTTGAAAAACTCAAAAATTTTTAAAGAACATCTTACAAAACGTTTTACATAAAAATAGATACTATATTAAAGACTCTTGATTTCAAAAACAAAATTAAAAATATTTCTCTACCCAACGATTACATCCTAGTTTCATTAGACGTTTCTCTATACACCAACATTCCAATAAATATTGCTAAGCAAGTAATCACCAAAGAATGGGATAACATTAAAATCTTTACCGATATTCCGCTCGATGACGTTTTAGAAGCAGTCGAAATAACACTAAAATCAACCTATTTTGCATACAACAAAGTTTTTTATCAACCAATCGACGGATGCGCCATGGGCGTTTCAATTTCCAGCGCCATCGCACAAATCGTACTGGAAGATTTGGAGGAGTCGGTCCTTAGCAATGCCCTTTTTTTACATACCTTTTTTCTACAGATATGTAGACGATTGCATCACGGTCATACCAAAAAACAAACAACACGAAATTCTTCAACTCTTCAACAGCTACCATCAGAAATTACAATTTACAATAGAAATAGAGTCCCAAAGTAAAATCAACTTTTTAGATTTAACCCTTCATAATTTAAAAAAAGGAATTAAAACCGAGTGGTACACTAAAGAGACCTGGTCTTCCAGATACGTTAATTTTAACTCCCAACACCCTATATCCCAAAAAAAATCCGTAATTATTGGCTTGGCTGACCGTACAATTAAACTCTCTGATCCGGATTTCAGAGAAAAATCGATTACTAAAGCGAAACAAGTATTAAAACTAAACAAATATCCGGAACGATTAATTAACACTATTTTCATTAAACGTATACACCTATTCTATAACCAAACTAAACAAAAAAAACAACACCCAACAAAAACAAAAAAATAATTATCTTTCGCTTCCTTATATACCCAATATGTCTGAAAATTTTAGCAAAATTTTTATGAATCACAACATTACTATTGCTCACAAAGGATACAATTTAGTAAAAAACATTTTCAGTAAATTAAAAGACAAGATACCGAACGAAAAGAAGAGTCACCTCATTTACGAGATACCTTGCAAAGATTGTGAGGGTGTGTACATCGGTCAAACAAGTCAGTACCTTAAAAACAGAATTAATAGTCACAAATACGACAAAAAAAATACGACTGCTCTGAAGAGTCATTGCGCGGAAACCAAGCATTCTTTCAATTTTGCGAAAGTAAAAATTCTAAAAACCGAAAATAATACAAAAACAGGGAAATTCTGGAAATGGTTGAGATCCAAAAAAATAAGAACTCTATAAATTCGAAAACAGACACCAACAATCTCAGTAAGCTATATTGCAACATTCTGAAATAAAACAACAATGAAAGATACAACATAAGAATATATTAATATAAAATTATAATATATAAAAATAATTTAAAATATATAAAAAAAAAATAATTGAACAAAAACACTCTGTATATCCTCTGAACCTTGTACCAAAGCAATCGTGCTTCGTACGATGTTTTTACAGTAACGGCGACGCGAGCAAACCTCGCGTATCGGTGTTTTTTAAACCCTTATATGTATTTTAACTGTTTCGTTAGCTTTGTGTGTATTATGTGTGTGAGTGCCGTATACAAATCATTTTTTGTTGGACTTTTATTTTTTATCAGGGGCATGACTTTTTTATTCTCATAGTTGGAAAAAAACCAAAACATTAATAATATTTCTAGGCACTATGACAAAACCAAACGCTTTTAAAGTATAGAACTTCCATATGATGCTATCTCTCTAATTTTAAGATTTGTGTTTGTCTCTTTTTGGTAAGGTTCTTTGTAATTCCGTTTATATATATAGAAAAAAAAAAGATCTGTACTATAACATAATTTTAGACTGTATCCCTTTCTGAAGGTCATAGAAGACCGAAACGTCAATATATGGACAAAAATTTGAATCGCTTTTAATACAAAGACCTATAACCCAAGAACCAAAAGCTAAACATATATATAGAGAAGGTCTAAGAAAAAACAATATATATATATATATATATATATATATATATATATATATATATATATATATATATATATATATATATTCACGTATCGATTCACGGATGGAAAAATGTGATGACACTATATTCCGGGATATCATCCGTTCGCTTGTTGAACTCCGACTGGAATCCTGCAGACGTTTCGCCAAAATCTTACTTGGCATCTTCAATGCTCGCGCTCCGAAAACAGTGTTCGAAGTGTTTTCGGAGCGCGAGCATTTAGTTTGGTTATAGAATAGGTGTATACGTTTTTTGAAAATAGTGTTAATTAATCGTTCCGGATAGTTGTTTAGTTTTAATGCTTGTTTCGTTTTAGTAATCGATTTTTCTCTGAAATCCGGATCAGAGAGTTTAATTGCACGGTCAGCCATGCCAATAATTACGGATTTTTTTGGGATATAGGGTGCTGGGAGTTAAAATTAACGTATCTGGAAGACCAGGTCTCTTTAGTGTACCACTCGGTTTTAATTCCTTTTTTTAAATTATGAAGGGTTAAATCTAAAAAGTTGATTTTACTTTGGGACTCTATTTCTATTGTAAATTGTAATTTCTGATGGTAGCTGTTGAAGAGTTGAAGAATTTCGTGTTGTTTGTTTTTTGGTATGACCGTGATACAATCGTCTACGTATCTGTGGAAAAAAGGTATGTAAAAAAGGGCATTGCTAAGGACCGACTCCTCCAAATCTTCCAGTACAATTTGTGCGATGGCGCTGGAAATTGAAACCCCCATGGCGCATCCGTCGATTTGTTGATAAAAAACTTTGTTGTATGCAAAATAGGTTGATTTTAGTGCTATTTCGACTGCTTCTAAAAAGTCATCGAGCAGAATATCGGTAAAGGTTTTAATGTTATCCCATTTTTTGGTGATTACTTGCTTAGCAATATTTATTGGAATGTTGGTGTATAGAGAAACAACGACTAATGAAACTAGGATGTAATCGTTGGGTAGAGAAATATTTTTAATTTTGTTTTGGAAATCAAAAGAGTCTTTAATATAGTATCTATTTTTATGTATAACGTTTTTTAAGATGTTCTTTAAAAATTTTGAGAGTTTTTCAAAGGGTGATTGGATACATGATACTATTGGTCTTAGAGGGATGGATTCCTTGTGAAGCTTGGGTAATCCATAAATTCTGGGTGGCTGAGAAATAAGAATTTTTAAGCTTTGCGCTGTGCTATGGGAAATGTATAACTTTTTTTCCCAGGAGGACACTAAGTCGTTGTTCTTTCTCTGAAAAATAGCTGTTGGGTCGTTTTTCATTTCTCTGTAGGTGGTATTGTCTTTTAGTAGATCTAGCATTTTTTTGTCATACTGAGCGTCCGTCATAATAACTGTTTTATTTGTTTTATCTGGTATCAAAATTTTGAGTTCTTTATGTTGTTTCAGGAAACGTTTTGTTTTTTTAATTTTAGCGCATAGTTTTGAATTTTGTTTGTTTTGATCTGTTTTTTTTGGGTTTTTGTTAAACTTATTTTTGTAATTAGTTATTATATTGCAACATTCCGATCGCACCCCCGTGAGTGTTAAGACCGTTTAAAGAAGTTTCGATACCTGCAATTATGTCACTGATTGGCAACTGATCGGATCGTTCTAACGGTGTAGCAAATTTTTTACCAAGACTCAACACTTCATTTACGTATTCCGGAATAACGGTCTCTGTTGGATTTTCCACCCAATCGGTGACACAAATATCTGGATTTTCGTTTTTTTTTGTATAATTGTTCGAATTTCTTAATGTTTTTGTTTTTAATTTTTTGGAACACGAATTCGGTTTTTTTTGTTTGTGTCTGTCGATCAAAATTGTTAATATGTTTGCAGGGACTAGAGTGGTGAGCTTTTCTATAAAACCGTCAATTTGCCTTTGTAGTTTTGAGATATTTTTAGTTGTGTCCGTGATTAAAAGATTTATTGTATTTAGCACAAAATTTCCCATGATGCCCTCTCTGAATTTCTTTTCGAGATGTTTACAATTAAAGGTAATGTGTTTCATTTTAAAATTGAGAAAAATGTGGGTTACGCCGTCGTTTTTGCACCGAAGGAGGAATATTCTTCTGTTCTTCTGTTGGCATAGTTGTGTTACTGATTTGCAGTATAACTTCAAGGTTCTCGTAGTTTCTTCGCCGAAAGTGTTAGAGATGTATTCGTAGGTAAGCATACTTTCACCGATGCCATATATATATATATATATATATATATATATATATATATATATATATATATATATATATATATGATGACACTATACTCCGGGATATCATCCGTTCGCTCGTTGAACTCCTGCTGGAATCCTGCAAATCCTGCATCCGACTGGAATCCTGCAGACGTTTCGCCAAAATCTCACTTGGCATCTTCAATGCTCGCGCTCCGAAAACACTTCGGACACTCAGTTTATATATATATATATATATATATATATATATATATATATATATATATATATATATATATATATATATATAAAGTCTTATTCTCAACAAAGCATTTTTTTCCCTCACGCAGTACATAAATCATATCAATGATGTCAGGAAAATCCATACCTACCTATTTTTTAAATATATTGACAAATGATACAATTTCGAATACTCTGGCATCTATTTCGGTACATGTATCTTTTACGTCATCTTGAAATAGAGAAATAGAGAAAATAAAGACGTTATCGTAGTTTTTTGTAAGTCTGGAAACTAGTATTTTTTTAGAAAAATTGAAATATTGAAAATGCTATTAGGTTTAGGCATTAATATTAATAAAAGAAATCGAAGAACTTTAAAACCAAAACAAAATTTTAAAATATGGTGGTTTATTAAAAAGTCTAATTGTCAATCTTTTTTGAGCCACCATCTATAATTTATAAAAATTTAAATTTGTGCATCCTAACAATCTTTACTACTATTGTATTTACCATTTTGAAACCAATGAGATAGTGAAATTTTTCTGTTCCCTTCTATACCTATTATTCACTGATCTAGTGTGCCACGTGAGTTTCGTGTTTCATGGATCCGAGTCATTTCGGACATTTCCTGGATATTATCGCATGGGTTTTGGGAGCAATCGGATGTTTCGGATATTCTACCGCACGGGTTTAATTTTGAAATTTGTCAGTTCTGACGGTCATATCGGTAAACTTTTTATTTCACTCGTGACTCAAATGCCGTTTACCACACTTGTTGCATAATATACTATTACTCTATACCTGACTCATTTTGTACATGGCAAATATGCAAGACGATGTGAAATATTTTGACAATAGGCGAATGACAGTGAGTTGCATTTGCCCATTAACAAACAGGTCATTTCAGCGCAAGATCGCAATTTGAAATTTAACTCTGAAAGGTCAAAAAAGTCAAACTAAACAAAAACGTAAGAGAATGCCTAGAGTGCAATTTAAAAGATCAAATTAATAACAAAATTAGCACAATCGTTATTATATTTGATAGTTCTCTATCTTTCGATTATCAACAAGCAATAATATAGAAAACTATTTATTTCCAAAACACTAATTTTTTCTAGTTTTATTTGATCTATTGATCTATTTGATTATGGTGATGTAGTCTCTGATAGCTCGCTGGCTTTTATATACCATTTCGAAACCATATTACTCAACATTTAAATCATCACAACATTTTAAATACGACTAATCGACGTAATTGTTAAAGAGAGTACCTTTTTACTTTTTTTAAAAATGATTATCTTAAAGACGTACGACAAGAGCTACACAAGTTATTATAGTGTCCATGCACATAACTGTCCATCGAAAATCTTTTACATTTATAAATATCAAAATATCAACAACAAAAATTCTATAGCGTTCCTTCTTTGGCGTTCACATTGTTGGATCTTTCTTTTTTTTAAGGGTTTGTTCGCATTTGCTCCTTTTTTTTGAAGGGTTGTCTCTCGCCATTTTGTCTGGCGTTTTTGAAAAATACCTTTCTAAATACCTCACAATACTAAAAATTGAAAGATTTAATTTGATTTGATTGGAATTTGGTTATTTAGCGTTCATGATGGAATACAACGAGGCTGTAAGAGGCGCTGCAATGGATTTGGTGTTCTTTTACGACGCTATGGTGAACCTTGTGATAATCTCGCGCATAGTTAGAATGCCGAAGGGCAACGCGTTGCTAGTAGGAGTGGGAGGTTCAGGCAAGCAAAGCTTGACCCGTTTGGCGTCGTTCATAGCTAATTATAAGAGCTTCCAAATACAACTTACGCGAACGTACAACGTAAACAATCTAATGGAGGACATGAAGTACCTGTACAGGGTGGCAGGTTTGGAAGGAAACGGCATGACATTTATATTCACCGACAATGAAATAAAAGATGAGACGTTCCTTGAGGCCATAAACAATATCCTCAGCTCGGGCGAGATTGCCAACTTATTTCCCAAGGACGAATTGGACGATATTACGTCCGAGTTGGTACCTGTTATGAAGAAGGCGGCTCCCAGAAGACCCCCGACCGGTGATAACTTGTACGACTTTTTCCTTACACGAGCTAAGCAAAATTTGCACGTGGTGCTTTGTTTTTCGCCGGTAATTCTTGTTCTATTCAAAAATATTGACTTCTGCCGAAACTTTTGCGTATTTCAGGTGGGCGAAAAGTTTAGAAGCCGAGCTTTGAAGTTCCCCGGTCTCATATCAGGCTGCACCGTAAACTGGTTTCAGAGATGGCCTGAAGATGCCTTACAAGAGGTGTCCGACCATTTCCTTAGCTCCTACCAAGTGGTGGCAACTCCTGAAATTAAAACGGAACTTATTTTAATAATGGCTGAAATTCATGATGGGGTATCTGAAGTTTGCGATACCTACTTTGAAAGGTACTTCATTTATTTGGTGCTCGCGAATTCGTGTTTGGAATTTATTCGAAAATGGATGTATAGTTCCCTTTTTCTGCTAATTGCATAATTATTGTCATACTTGGAAACGCCACTTCATGTCAAATAGATATTTTATACTCATAAATTTATCGACACTAGAATAACTCAACATAAGTTTCAGCATATGTACAGCTTCACACCCATCCCAATACTTGTAGGCTAAATGCCTACATGAGTGTACTGAAAATCACGAAAGAAGACTGTTTTGTCCGAATATTATTTTCTAGTAATAATATATTCATAATTTTTAATGTTTTAGAAAAAGACGATTACCAATTTTGTTATATTTAGCAAACATTTTCGCTGATGCGTATATCCGATAAAGATGGTCGAATTTGTAATGTTGCGTTTAACTGCTGTCAGGTTGATAGTTTGACAGTTTTTCGTTGGTTTATGTTTATATATTGGTGCTCCGATTTTTAATTCATTCTGTCATATAAATTGTTTTCAAATCAAAAAATCTGTGTCAGCATAATAATTTAGGTAGGTACGCAACAGGGTTTTACTTCTCAAATATTTAAATACATTTTAAGCATATTTCTTCTGTAAATCCTTAAAACATGTTTAAGAATTGGAAAATGTATTAAAATATGAACATCGTCAAAACAAACCTTAGTAAACTCTTTTATTGTCAAAATATTAACTTTTAGTAATCCATGTTTGCCTTTCTGTTACATTTTGTGTTCTTTAGTATTTTCAGACGTACAGCAGGATTGGTACAGTACAAATGTGCATAAGGGTTTGAATATTTACCATGCAAAATCCTGTGTTGCGCCTTAAAAGATACACATGTAAAAGCCTGGTTTTAAAGTGACCTTTGTTTTTAATTTTTTGTTGAACAAGTTTTTGCTATGAAAGGTAAAATTCTTAGCTCTTAATTGCAGTGTCAAGTGGTATCCTTGAAAAATTATTTTCAACAAGAAAAGGATAATTACCGCTGTCCGCTATCAAGAGGTTTGTATAACTTATGAAATTGTGGATATCATTTGATTAGTAATTCCTTCTAATTTTTCATCGGGTAGTTCGGGCATTAAATATTAGTTGTTGCAAGAATAAAAAAGCCTTTCAAATCCAAGGATAGCCTTATAAAGTCACTGAAAAAGGCCCAAGACGACTGATTTAACTGATGTAGTTAAATGTAATATACGAAACATTTGTAACCATGCAAGAGAGTGTCTGATGATTGAAATTATTGTTTTTTTTTTTGGAAAAACGTCTCAATAGCAATTTTAAACAGAAGGCTTAAAGAAGGAGAACTTGCTTTTATCAGCAATAGATCTCTGCGGAGAGTATTGCCCAGTATATGTTTTAAATTCAAAAAGATGTTTATTGAAGACATCTTGTAGAGCAAACGAACGTCTCATTATTTCGAACTGACTTTTTAAGAAATTACGAGTATGTCAACACTTCCTCTAATTCAATAAAGAGTGAAAGAAGACCACTGGACTTTCAAGCGAAGTGATTTATTGTCGTGTATGCAGGGAGTGATAAAGGATTTGTTGATCGAGCAAGCTTGCTGTTTTATTCCAAGTCAATATCTGCAGATTACCAAGGCAATGCATAGCGAGATATTTAATAGGTGGTTCAAAGAAAAATTATTTTCCAACTTGGAATAGTCATATCACAGCATTTTATCAGAAAATGATTTCTTCTAAAACAGAGATCGGCGACTGGCTGGTTAAAAATAAAATTGAATTTCAGCCAACATTATCAAAACTATAATTATTAGATCTATTGGAAAGAAATTGCCAATAAAAGAAATATGTGATATATGAAATCATCAGAAGTCATTGCCATAAAATACTTCGTACGCCACCATACCAGTGTGAATTAAATGCTATAGAGTTCATACTGTCGTATGCTGAACAGTGTTACGATAGATATATGCGAAGAGACGCTTATAGTGATAAACATGTTTTAGTTCTTTGGAATGAACTCTATTACAAATTACACCCGAGGTTTGGAAAAATTCGGCGGAAAATAGCAATAAAATTATTTTAGAGTGGTATAAGCAAACCATTTTTAATGAAATAGACCCCGTAATAATTTCACTAGATTCAGAAAATAATGTCGAATGTAATCTTAGTGATTGAGCTTTAAATGAAAAACTGAAAGACTCACATTTAGAACGAATTAGTTTATGGTGTACCTACTAACTAAAAGTAATGTATTGCTTTTTATATAATTTATTTATGTTTATATTCACCTATTTGAGACACTCGTTAAAATAAAAATGTTTATTAAAATAAATTGTTCTTTGCATCTTGTTTTAAAATTGGTATACATTTTTAACATAATAGTTGTTGTACTTTTTATTTAAATATTTAATTAAAACTAGAAATATTTAAAAATGTTATATGAATCTGCAACAAATACCTTACAAATATTGGTTAATTATAAAAAGACGTCCATTTATTAATTCAAACAATTTATGATGTGACGTAATTGTCAACTTTTGTGATTTTCAGTATAAGTTTACATTTGGTGTAAATATCATAACATTGTTTTGTAATGTGCATGTATTAAGCGTTTAGTGTGCATACCGGCTGATATAAATTAAGTGTTCATCATTGGTAACTTTGTTATGAGTAGAGATACAATTTTTAATTGGCAAACTAGTAGAATTTCGTCCACTCATAGATCTGCACAATTTCGCAATACTTGACGGCACTCGAGATTTTAACTCTGGCACGCGGAAAATGCTCTCACGTTGGTCTCTGCCTGAGTCGTACTAGTCCCGATCACACCGGAGTACGACACCCGAGCGACATGCGAGTTTTTTCTGGCCATATACCCAGTGAGATTGTCACCAAAATACGCGGAGAATATAACCGCACCAATTAATTAAATGAAAACGAATTTCAATTTGCTCGATATAAAAATTCCCCAATTACAAAAATTAAAGAGGAAAAATAAAACAAAACAATTCCGATTGGACGGAACAATTCTTATTCTTATAAATTTTTTTCGTCTCCTTTTACCAAAAACGACTTTATTATTTCTAAAGATTAGATAAAGGCTCAGAAAAAAATGTTTAAAGAAGGCTGAAACTAGTTGTCAAAAAATTTGTTTTAATGTGTTAACTGTTGGTATTGTTATATCAATTGTTATCAACTATTTAAATTAATTTTACTGTATCACGTATTCAAAAATGGTTTTTACACATGAAGAAAAGTGCGACATGTTACAATACTATTTGGCATGCAGTAAATTTAGATGTAGAGTGCCATTAAATCTAGTACTGCTGCGATGGCAGTAAACTGTTTCCTCTGCTCATTCGACACGATTGGTTTAGATTCCGTCGTAAAACGTACGTGACTCCCAAAACTTTCATAACCTTCCTGGACACTTACAAATCGATTTACAAGAAAAAGGCGGACGACATCGAAGTCCTCGCCCACCGAATGAAAACCGGATTATCGAAACTGGTCGAGGCTCAAGTCAGCGTCGATTTACTCAAGAAAGACTTGGAGGTTAAAGAGATGGAAATGGTTGTAGCTACCGAGGCCGCGGAGAGGGTCTTGAACGAGGTGCTGGCGGCTTCGGAAATAGCCAATAAAATCAAAGAGGAAGCGACGGCTGTCAAAGAAAGAGCCGAACACTTGGTAGCTCTCATAAGCGTGGATCAGCAGGAAGCTGAAGAAAAACTGCTGGCTGCGAAACCCGCTCTGGATGCAGCCGAAGCAGCGTTACTGGTATGTAATGATAATGGATAAGTAAATTAAAATGGGATCAACCCATTGAATATATTCTTCCAAAGCTTAGCTCCTGCTCTTTTTTACTCTGTCAGCGGACATCCTAAAACTCGTCTATTATATATTATAATTGTAAACTAGGGATGAGCGACGGTCGTGGATCCAGTTTTTAAATCGCAAAAGCGCGCACCGAGATATATGACCCGATCAACGTAAAGAACATTTTAATACTTCAGATCATGATGCTCCTATCATTTATTCACTTTTACTGTGTTGAAGACAAAATACGTCAACTTTCAAAAATAGTAGATTCTATCTTCTAGATTATGTGCAGACCAAAATTGTCTTGGACCAAATTATCTGCAGGCCAAAATTATCTTGAATCAAAACTATATAACCTTGCAATAATGTCCATAGATGCTTTAACGAGAATGACGACTTTTTAAAGTTTAAAATATCAAAATTGTTGGTCTAGTAAATGTATATACAGTAAATTAGCTTAAGTCTTGTTATCTTATATGATAATGATGTTTTATTGATGCATATAAATGACGTGTGTTAGGCAGATCAAGAAGGAAAAAAAAATAGATATAAAAAAAATTTAGAACACGTAGGTATAAAATAATCACAGATACAATATATTTAATATTCATAGGCAGGTGATTTTTCATAACTGCAATACTTGTATACATTCAATTTTAATTGATCTCTATTTCTAGTCAGGTATTTATGTGCGTCCCATGCTCTGTGATATAAATATCTATGCTGATTATACATAACAGTAATGCTAATGTTAATCAATGCTAATAAATGTTAGTTAAACCAAACATTTTGACATTAAGTAGTGGAGCCATAAGATGTTATATTGTAGCTTGTTCATCAGCATTAATTTGAGATTTCAAAGATCATTATTACCGCTGTTTAGATTCTTTCAAACTGTTTCAATTGCTATTTAGACACAGATTGTCTTAGACTTGTCCAACATCAATCTATTTCTAAAGCAATCATGTTTCAATTCTGGAACGACTTTTTGGCATAATTCCTAGACCGTCAATGCCGATAGAATGTACGATGTATCGTCAGCAAACAAAAACACGTTCCCCGTAGATATGCAAACGCAAATCGTTGATAAATATGAGGAATAAGAGTGGACCCAAAGTACTGCCTTCAGGCATTCCAGTGTCGAATAATATTAATATAATAATAAACATTATTAGCTCTAACAATGAGTTTGGACCCTTAAGATATAAAGAGTCGAACACACGTGTCAAGTCAAAGAAAAACTTTAGCGGGTGCTTCCTCCTCTCCGGTAAATCATTGCACGATGCCAACTCTTGCGGTCTTGGTAGAATGCCCTTTCCGAACATCATGTTCATTTACTAAGATTTTATTTTTAGTTAAATATTGATTTAAACGTTAGGGTAGTAGCTTTTTCTATAATTTTGGATATAGTACTAAAGAGAGAATTGGATCTATAGTTTTCGGATGACATTGGGTCACCTTTCTTATGAATAGGTAAAATTAAAGATTGTTTTTTAAGTTTTATAATTGTGGTTGTAAATTCAGTTTTATATTTTTTAATTAGATACAGATACAGATATAGATACAGATAAAAGGTACCAAAAGTCTCAGTTATTTCATTGTTATCTTTGACTACTGGTCCGCTGTCTCTCAGCTCAATGGCGTCTTTTCTTGTATCAATAATATTTTTGTTACGTTCAATTTTGAGATTCTTCTATGTTAAATTTAATTCTAAGTCTTTGTGATATTGTTTACGCTTATGATTTAAATATTTTAAAAGTCTACATTCCTTTTTTAGTGTCTCTGTATACCAAGAATTATTATTGTTACGTCTATATTTGTTATTTACTTTTGGAGAAAAAGCTGAGAAAGTCCAGCAAAAGAAATCGCAAAATTGTCAAAATATTTCATTTACGTTCAAATTGTTATATACAGTAAAATCGTTTATTAGCAAATTTTCAAACTGTAAAATTATAGGTTAAATTTGGAGAAATGGACGATACTTTCTTATCCGCATTGCTACAGGTGTTATTTACAAACAGTGTACTCTTTTTTACCGACATTATTTGCGCGTTATGGATGGGAAAACCTGCATTAATGTTTTGAATATTAATATTGTTAATTGATGGATTTGATATCACATAGTACAAACCAGACTCACGCCTACCGGAAATTCTGGTTGCTTGATTATTTGTAGAATTCAAATCGTGACCGTCCAATTTGTCAAAAAGGATTTCTTCTGTGGATTGTTAAAAAAATAATATTAAAAAAAAAATTAAGAGTATGGGGCAATATACATTCTAGACCTCTGGAAATCAAAGTTTACTAAAAAGGATTCAGAATGTTTTAAATGATAATCTATTTTACAGAATATTTCAACACCAACATGTAAATTATTATTTCTGCAGAAAGTAGAGACAAGGTAATATTTGGTTAGAATGAGACCTTTTACTGTTTTTTAACCAGTGTTCTGTAACACAAAAGAGTAGTGGTTCGTGTATATTTAGAAAAGTTTCTAGCTACTTCAATTTGTTTAAAATAGTTTGTACAGCCAGTGTTGTGAAAATTCTTCTTTGGAAATAGGTACACAGACATTGCATGGTCATGTGTAAAGGTTATAAACCTTTTTCACATGTCGAACTCGTAGTCTCAGTTATGTTCAAATGTTTGCACTGGAACTGTATATTTTGCTAAGTCGTCTAGAGACGCCGGACTGGACTGTCAGGAGTAACTTTCGGATACTTTTAGGGAGCCCATATTTATAACAGTGTTACTATGCGAAGCCGCTTTGCTGGCTATTATCGGTTTGATTTAGTATCTTCGTACTCCTAGTTAGATTTCCGTTCATTCATGGACATATCAAGGATGCTTGGTCTAGTATTGACCGCTGTATATTTACCGTCGTTACGAGAAGTATGGTAGATGGTTCCATGCGCTAGTTGTTTTTTTTATTTCGACTTGGCTTCAACGATGATATAATATACTCCAAGTTCATTACTCGTTTTTCTAACAGCTGTCTTTTCTGGCCAATGTTCATTTTCACGCAGTGCCTTTTCCAACCCAATCTTAATTTTAAGACAGTTCACCGTAAGTTCAATTTTTCATGTGTCCGATTCTCGAAATATTCACTAAACACCACTGGCAATTTATCTTTGATATGTACCCTTCGTTGCATAACGCGTACCAATTATTGTGTCCCTGTAGACCATTAAAGCTGCGGACATAGCAACGGTGCGGAAACTGGGCAAGCCTCCTTACCTAATCTTGTTGATAATGGACGCCGTATTGATTTATTTTAAACGGAAGCTGGAACCGACCAAGCCAGACTACGAGAAGAGTTTCCTGGTTCCGTCTTGGAGCGAATCATTGAAGGTATTAGCTGCAACCATTCGATCTTTCGTTTTAACCAAGTCGTGATGTCTAGGTGATGGCCGACTCAGCGTTCCTTAAGAAACTGCAAGAGTACCCGAAAGACACCATCAACGCCGAGATGGTGGACTTACTCCTTCCGTACTTGACTCATCCTCAGTATACTTTCGAAGCTGCCAAGACCGCCTGCGGCAACGTGGCGGGATTGATCTCGTGGACGATAGCAATGGCGGCGTTTTACGAGGTCAACCGCGAAGTATTGCCTCTGAAGGCCAATTTGGCGATCCAACAGGCGAAATTGTCAAGAGCCCAAGAAGAGTTGGATGCGGCGATGCAGCTTTTAGCCAGCAAGGAGGAAGAAGTGAGGTTGTGCCAGGAGCAGTATGAGCAAGCAATGGCGGAAAAACAGGTATAAATTGGAACTGAAACGGTTTTATCTAAGCCGATATTATTATAGGAAATATTTGCTGCTGCCATGAAGGTGAAGAACAAAATGGACGCTGCCACCGCTCTGATTGACGGTTTGGCCGGGGAGAGGGTACGTTGGACCGACCAACTGGCCCAATTTAAAGCTGAGACGGAAAGACTGGTGGGCGATGTCGTGCTGCTAACCGGTTTTTTGGGATATACTGGTCCCTTTAACCAGGAGTTTAGGACAAATATGCAGCAGACGTGGTTAAACAGCTTGACAAGAAGAAAAATTCCAGTCACGTTGAGTTTGAATATTATCGACAGTTTGACCGACATTGCCACGGTAATTAATGCATACAGATAATTTGTTATTTCAGAATATCCACAAATCTCCACGAGGATATGGAAAGGTAAACCTTCACTTTTGCTCTACTGCTAAAGTAAGTTAATATTAAATAATCGGACAATCAAAGCGTTTATTAAAAATTGTAATAAGAATTAATTTGATGGCAAAGACAATAACAACAATGATACGAACATAACATAGAGCTAATAAGGTATGGTAAGCCACTATTTACAATATTTTATTTACACAAACGACACTTTAAAGAAATAAAAAAAGTTCAGTATTTAGACTTCATGGTTCTTTATATCACAGTAGATTAAAGATTTTCATTGAGTCAGTAGACTGCTGTCCGCGACCTAGATGATTAAAGAATTTAAATAAAAGCAATAAAAATATAACTACTTGTTTCACCGTTACAACCCGGCGTTTGTTTCTAAAAAATTTAATGCTCCGAAAATAACAAGCTAACAAATGCCCGTTCTTAAAGTAAAGTCTGCATAACTCATTCTGTTTTAGAAATCTACACCGATAGATTCCATTCTCAATAATATTAATTTCGGTCAATAAAGATAAAGAACGATAAAGAAACGACGACCAGTATTTAAATTTCAAATAACCATTCTGAAGCAATCAAATTAGGAATCATTCAAACAATCTGTAAAAGAGCCAGAACAAAATGCAGCGAGGAAGCATCAGTCGATGCAGAATTAAGCACTGTCAAAAAACATCAAGTAATGAACGGAAAGCAAGACAGAACAATCTGAGGTAGATACTTTCTTTCTCTTGACTCTCTTGACTAGAAAAACAATACAAAGTTGCAGTCTTTCGACAGGTCCGGGACGACATTTAGGATCATGCAACCATTTACAAGAACAAATCCAGAAACATCGACTCAAGAGAAAGAATGTATCAACCAAATACCCTATGAATGTGGAGAGTCATATATTGGAGAAACAAAAAGACCTCGAATCGAAGAACGTAGGAAATAGCCAATGAGAGGTGAAATGCAGAATAACGAAACCGGGAATACATAACACAACATTAAATGGTCGGAGGCTCGGGTTGTTCACTGGGAACCGCATTGGAAAATGCGCAAGTTTAAGGATGCTGTATTCATCAAAACAAAGCAAATATCTTTAGCAATCAAAGCGTGAAACTACTTACGATGTGGCAACCCTTATTAGATCGCACAATCTTGGCATCCTAGCGAAACAACTACAAGCTTGCACCCTACTACGTCACGCTTGAACGTCGTAGTTTAGTATATAAGTAGCACATAAGCTCGGTAGCCTTGAAATTAAAATTAGTATGCACTTGATAACGAATAGTGATGGCAAAATTCGTGTAAAGAAAAAATAAAGATAAGACAATCTCTTAGCAAAATAAATAAGAACTAAAAGTTCAGATTTACACTAAATTATATATTTTGACATGACAATTGTTTCGACAACACCGTGTCTTTATGTAAAGGTAATACATTCTGAATTGTCTCATAAACATAGTCTCATAGAATTTGACACATTTGATTATAAAGTTCGAACAGACATTTCTTCTATCATTCATAAAAAGTTTATTAGATAAAAACTAAAGCTAGACAAATTAATTTCTAATTCAAAAATAACTGAAAGCAAGCCAACCATCAATTTTACAACAGGTTCATAAACTTAACAGACACAACATTTTCTAAAAATGATGTTGAATTTCTGGAAAAAGGTTTCAACTTTAACTTACAACACTCGTACATTAATAGAGAATTATATTGTTTAGGGATCGATTGTGAATTAGCAATTGAGAACGTTAACGATTCTAATTTAAACAAACATGTATTAGCGAATATAATAAACTTTCAATTAATAGATAACAACAAACACAAAGAAATTTCTCAAATGTCACTAGTAAAAACTATCAGAAACAAAGCTTGTCAAAATAACATAATATTTATACGTGCAGATAAAGAGAAGACAGTGGTAGCTATCGATCTCCCAGAATATATTTCAAAAACCAACAATTTTCTTAAACCAGAACTTTTCCAATGTGTCAAACACGATCCTACCGAGTTATATCAAAGACGAGTCAAGGAAGTAATTACTAACTCCACATTATTTAATGACAAAGACAAACATTTTTTAACAATTATGAATTCACAACCGCCGAAATTATATTCCTTAGTTAAATTACATAAACAAGATTTGCCCATTAGACCAGTCGTGTCTTATGTAACAGCTCCAGCAGTTTAACTCTCTACAAAATTCGTAAATATTTTCTACCCAGATTTTTAACCAAAATTTGCAATAAAAAAACTCTTTTGAATTAATCATCAAAATTAAAGACATCAAAATCCCTTCTAACGCAACACTACTGTCTTTTGATGTACAAAACTTATCTCATTGGTGACACAAGATTTATTAGATTGCTTAATAGTATCATTAGACCAAAATTATTTTGAATTTTATGGACAGATTTATATCTCTAAAGAAGGTTTGATTATGGGAAATGCACTTAGTACTTTGTTAGCCGAGATTTTTATGAATAATTTAGAAAATATCATACTAGAACATCCTTTAAGTAAAAGTTTTTTATGGTGGTATCGATATGTGGATGATGTCTTTGCTTGCTTTGTTGGAACCGACAGACAATTGAATTCTTTTATAAATTACATTAACTCAATACATAATCGTATAAAATTCACTATCGAGATTGAACAGGATAATTGTTTAGACTTAACTATTACTAAAACGCAAAATAAATTAGATTTTTCCATTTATCATAAACCTTCATACACGGACACAGTCATACATAACAGCTCACCCTTATACACACAAAATGGCTGCATTTAACTCTTTTATACACAGACTTCTTAATACGCCACCGTCAACAGAAAATTACAACAAAGAACTTAATATCATTAAACAAATTGCACTGAACAACGGCTACAATCCGCCCATTATAGATAAAATTATAAATAAAAAACAAATACAGACAGCAGTAACCTCTATTTATCTGAACCCTAATACAGAACACGAACAATTTAAAACAATTACATACATAGGAGATCCTAGTGAAAAAGTTTCAAAACATTTGTCAAAATGTGGTTTAAAAATAGCTTTCAGAACTAACAACACAATAGGAAAATCAGGTGTCTACAGGTTGAAATGCGGATCATGTCCTAAAATTTATATTGGACAAACAGGTAGATCCTTCAAGAAACGCATTAATGAACATAAAGGAGCGTTTAAAAACAATAGTCTAGATTCTTAAACACAGAAAAACACATTTTTGACGACAATTTTGATATATTACATACATCCACAAAAAGTAGAAAATTAAATTTATTGGAAGCCATGGAGATTAACAAAATGAGACATTCAAATGTATTGCTTAACGATCAATTAGATTTAAATACTTCTCCTTTATTGAACTTAAATTCTCGCAACAACATTAATTTAGATTTTATGGCCATTTTTCGGTATATATAGTAGCAGGTAGTTTGTAAATATTATATTTGATAGTCACGGTGTTGTCGAAATAATTGTCATGTCAAAATATATAATTTCGTTAAAATCTGAACTTTTAGTTCTTATTTATTTTGATAAATGCATTTTCATCAAGTAAAAGCCACCTAAGTTCAACAATCTCTTAGTATTTCTACATTCAAGGAAACGTTGAGGTCTAGTTCTTAGTGAAACGCTTAATATCTCTAGCTTGAAAATTATTTGAGAGAAGAGAAGAGAGAAGAGGTGTTTTTAATCCTGGGTTCGGCGATTCAGGATGAGATAGTTGGACGTCTCTGTGAACAAGTTGAAAACTGATGATAAGAAAATTTCGAAGGGATTCTTGACTATGAAGCGGAATTACAAAAATATCATCACAGTAGTGGTTTAATAGTTTTGATTTAGACAGAAATTGTCAAGATATTCGTTCATAAACTTGTTCGTTACAAGAAAAATATATTCCAGACAAACATTTTCCAATTGAGATTGGAAACTTTGATTCCAGATTCTCTGATTATAATATATCTGAAATAATGTTGAGAGTTTCAGGAATAGCGACTGTAGTAAAGAGGCACCAGACCAGAATGTCACTTGTATCTAATATAACGGTTTTTAGTTGTTCATTGAAGTTCAGTTTTTTCTGCAAAGGATTTAAATAAAGAATATCGATATTTTTCTAAAGAATAAGTTGGAGAACTAACACTGGGTAGAAAGGGTAATCTTGCTTTGTGAACTTTAGGGAGTCCGTAGAAACGAGGAATTTGAGTCTCGTGGGGTTGCATGTTTTTTCACAGATTTTAAGAGAGAGCTCTATTTTTTGACGTTATTCCCTGTCTATACTAATATCTTCAATTTTTTCGGTGTTGTTCATGTTGCATTTTCTTTATCTATTTTTTAAATTACTAGTCGGAATTAGATTTTAGAGATTTTAGAGCTATGCGTTTAGGCTTTGAAATATTGATACCATTATTTTTTATATAAAATATTAAATGAACCAACCTTGGAATTCGCGACACTCTCCAATCTGGGTAATTTGCATGATTTGTTTACTATTACAATTATTATTAAGGTTCTCATTAAATATTCGAATGCATTCCCTTAATTTTAGCAAAAATAATGGCACCGTTTTGCCTTATTTGGGTTTTATTTTAAATTTTATGCCAAGCTAGACAAAATTTAAATAGGCTCATGACTCTTATTTTTGGTTCTAGAAAAATGAATACATTATAACGGAAGTACGTCTTTTTAACATACAACAATGTCCCAAATTTAGCAGCTTTGATAATTAAGAAGCTAGCAATAATGCTGACACTAAGTTGTTCAGGCTCTATATCTAATAACTATAATCTACAAACTTTTAATTTGTAGTATTTTTTATCTTTCCTATATGAAGAAGAATTAAACCTAATTAAAGTTTGGTGATACAAATCTTTCACTATTTTAGATAGGTGAGTGGAACCTTCAGGGTTTACCCACTGACGAACTGTCCATCCAAAATGGCATAATTGTTACAATAGCATCGAGGTATCCGCTTTTAATTGATCCCCAGAACCAGGGCAAGGCGTGGGTCAAAAATAAGGAAAAGGAGAACAGATTAATAGTTACTTCTTTGAATCACAAATATTTTCGGTATCTTTTGGTAATTTAATCCAAATTTCATTTGTATTCGAACCTGTCATTTCAGTAATCACATAGAAGACGCCGTGTCGCTGGGATATCCTCTGATTATTGAAGACATTGGAGAAGAATTAGATCCGGTTCTGGATAACGTACTGGAAAAGAATCATATCAAAATCGGAACCACCTTCAAGGTAAAAGTGGGAGACAAGGAAGTCGATTTCCACAAAGACTTTAGGATGTACATCACGACGAAACTAGCAAATCCGAACTACACCCCGGAGGTATTTGCTAGAAGTTCGGTGATTGACTTTACTGTGACGATGAAGGGTCTTGAGGATCAATTGCTGGGTCGGGTGATTTTGACAGAAAAGAAGGAATTAGAAACAGAGCGGACCAATTTGATCAAAGACGTTACCGCCAACAGAAGGAAAATGCTGGAACTAGAGCAGAATTTGTTGTACAAGCTAACTACCACAACAGGTTCGTTATTGGACGACGACACGGTGATCGAGGTACTGAATGTGACGAAGAACACCGCAGCAGAAGTTAGAGAGAAGCTTCAGGTTGCAAAAGAGACCGAAGCGAAGATTAATGTCGCCAGAGAGGAGTTTAGACCTATAGCTACAAGAGGAAGTATTCTGTACTTCTTGATCGTGAGCATGTCGATGGTGAATTGCATGTATCAAACGTCTCTTGTACAGTTTTTGGAACGGTTTGACATATCGATGGCTAGAAGTGAAAAATCCCCTATCGTCTCGAGACGAATGCAATCCATAATCGATTATCTCACATACGAAATATTTAAATACAAATCGAGAGGCCTGTACGAGAGACACAAGTACATGTTGGTGCTCCTGATGTGTCTGAACATAGATTTGGAACGGGAGCATATAACTCACGAGGAATTTCAAAATTTTATAAAAGGCGGGGCAGCGCTCGATTTGAATACTTGCCCGCCCAAAGCAGCCAAGTGGATAACAGACCTGACTTGGTTGAATCTCGTGGAGCTGAGCAAATTAAGACACTTCCAGTACATAATTCAACAAGTTTCCAATAATGACAAACAATGGAAGGTATGGTTTGACAAAGACTCGCCCGAAGAGTCTGTCATCCCAGACGGGTATAATCATCTGGATACTTTTCGTAAACTGCTAATTATCCGTGCTTGGTGTCCCGATCGCACCATAACGCAGAGCAGGAAGTACATCGCAAATTCTTTGGGGCAGAAGTTTTCCGAACCCGTCATCCTTAATTTCGAAGTTATGCACAGCGAATCGAGGCCGCTTACACCACTCATTTGTTTTCTCAGCATGGGCTCTGATCCCACTCCTTTTATCGAGACTCTGGCAAAACGGCTCGAATTGAAGAGTAAATCAATATCGATGGGTCAAGGACAAGAAGTGCACGCCCGGAAGTTATTGGCCCAGGCCATGTCCGAGGTACGTTTACGCACTCAACCATCCCAAAATGTAATTGTTACTTTATAGGGATTTTGGGCCCTGCTGCAAAACTGTCACCTGTCGTTGGATTATATGAATGAAGTCTTATCAGTTTTCCTTGACCTGGAAAAGGGTGTCGGTGTGGTGCATCCAGATTTTCGACTTTGGATCACGACCGAGGTGCACGAGAAGTTCCCCATAAGTTTGCTCCAGATATGCATTAAGTTCACCAACGAAGCCCCATCGGGAATTAGAGCGGGGCTCTTAAGAACTTACACGTCCATGAACCAGGACATGTTGGATTACTCGGACGCGTGGCAATATATACCGTTGATATATGCCATTTCCTTTTTACATACAGTCGTTCAGGAACGAAGAAAATTCGGTCCGTTAGGTTGGAATATCCCTTATGAATTTAACTCTGCCGATTGGCTCTCAAGCTGTCTGTTCCTGCAGAACCATCTAGATGAATTAGATCCCAAACGTGGTATCAGTTGGCAAACATTAAGGTAATGGTAGTTTTGCATTTAGATCCATAAGGGTCCTAAATTGCAGGTTCACGTAGAAATATTTTAAGAAAAAATGTAACTGTTAAGGATCATGTTCGACTATATTTTTATTCGTAAATATTCGCAGATAAATTCTGCTTTATTACTTTAACCAGAAGCTAATAGATGATAAGTGACCCTACTACGTTAAAAGTTGATGCGCCGCGATTGGCATTGAAATATTCTTAACTGCTTTTTCCAGAACATACAAAACACTGCCGTAAAAATGCCGCATCTAAACTTATTGACGATCTGTCAACGGCCATGTTGATTGTTGAATTCCGCAAGGTAATTGGTTAAAAAATATTCCTAGTTGCTTTATGACTTGAATTATCTAACCAAAACTCTAACTTAAAAAAAATATTAAAGAAAGTTAAACTAAAATTAAACTAAAATAATTTTGTGTAAGTTTATGATAACTTACAAATGTTTGTTTGATCTGAATAGTTTCACAGTTTATGGTTTATCTGTGTAACCCACATTTCAAATAAATTTTAACAAATTGAGACCTGCACTTATTTAGCAAAAAAGTTATATAAAAGGAAATCGAAAGTCCGATTTTTATCATATTTTCTGTAATTTTTTTAAGTGTGATTTAAATTGGCGATTAAAACAATATTTCTTGATCAGAGGGTATTAAATTGAAATATATAACCTGAAACTAATTAAACTAAACTAAAAATAATTAAACCATATGGAAAAAAAGAAAAATCTTTGACAAATACTTCCAATAGTGTAGATATATCTTTGTTCCACCTAAAACGTACCCACGGATCGATAAAAATTTTCATTATCGGCATATCGGCGTTCCTTTTCTTTGTTTATTGTTTAGTAGATTACGCCTTATGAAGCAATATACAATAGAATTTTGAAAAGGGTATATGTATAACCAATATTACTGTTTATAAAACTTCTGGTTTCTTCCTGCGTCGGTTGTTGTTGAATCGAAATTGTTGACGTTTCGCTAATCATCCTGCTGAATTTTTCAAAAACTGTTTCAGTCAATCTCTTTAGAGGTCAACAGGATGATTGACGAAACGTGAACAATTTCGATTTAACAACAACCGGTGCAGGAGGAATTCAGAAGTTTTGTAAATAACTTTACAGTAGCCTGTGGAAGTTTCTTTGAAAAATGTAACCAACATTGACATGTATTGGACAACTAAAAGATGTAGTTCACAAAGGGGTAATCAAGAGTGAGATGGATATTCTTGCAGATTTACCAAAATTTTATTTAGATTTTAATATAATTTTTTAATATCTTCTTGGCATTTTTTACCTTCTGCAGATATATGTTAGGCGAAGTCCACTACGGAGGTAGAGTAACAGACGATTTCGACAAAAGGCTACTCAACACCTTTTGCAAGGTGTGGTTCAACGACAACATTTTCCACGATGACTTCACCTTTTACAAAAGTTACAAGGTGGTGCGGTTTAAAAATTTGTCCGAGTACATTTCCATTATCGACGGATACGCGCCTACCGATCCGCCGCAAGCCTACGGTCTCCACCCCAACGCTGATATCACGTATCAAACTAACACGACAATAGAAATGTTTGATAGAATGTTGGCGATCCAACCCAAGGAATCAACAGTGGGGGCAGGCGAATCTAGAGAAGTGGTGGTTACCAGACAAGCCAAGGATATGTTGTCCAAGTTGCCGAACAATTACGATCCTTTCGAAGTGAAAGAAAGGTTTCACGAATGGATTTTTATTGTTGCTTAATCTGTAAAGACGTGTATTCTAGATTGCGAATTATGAACCATCTGAACCCGCTAAACATTTTTTTGAGGCAAGAGATTGATAGAATGCAAAAGGTCATCAGTTTAGTTAGGGCCACGCTGACCGATCTTTTGCTTGCCATAGAGGGGACAATTATAATGAGCGAGAGCCTTGGCGATGCTTTCGATAGTATTTACGACGCAAAGTTGCCTTTCGTGTGGAGACGGGGGTCGTGGGAGGCCAATACCTTAGGGTTTTGGTTTACCGAACTGATTGAAAGAGACGAACAGTTTAGGGGTTGGTGCTTCGGAGGGCGGCCAGCCTGCTTTTGGATGGCAGGCTTCTTCAACCCTCAAGGATTTTTAACGGCAATGAAGCAGGAGGTGGCCAGGAGTCACAAAGGGTGGGCTTTGGATCAGGTGTCTCTATTCAATGAGGTTACCAAGAACACCAAAGAAGAGATAACCCATGCTCCGGGAGTATGTCGTTGTGCACTTATAAATTGAGAGAGTTTTAACAACTTTTGCCCCATTAGGAAGGAGTTATGGTGTATGGGCTTTTCTTAGATGGAGCTGGATGGGATAGGAGACACATCAGATTGACAGAATCCGTAAACAAGGTGCTGTACACCATGGTACCCGTTATTCATGTGTTCGCCATTAACTCGACCGATCCCAAGCCACCCACTTTGTATATAGTGAGTTTATTAGTTGTCATTTATGTTCGACTTTAAGTGGTTTGAGTTTTAGTGTCCTGTTTATAAGAAATCCCGTCGCACCGATTTAAATTTCATTACTACGCTGTGGCTTCAAACTGTGAAGCCACCGGACCACTGGGTGTTGAGAGGAGTTGCCCTTTTGTGCGACACTCAATAGATGTTCTTAGCAAATATATAGATAAATAAATTTTAATTTAAAAAGTTATTTTATTTACTAGCTGCATATAACGGCAAATGTGGTTAAAGTGGCATGAAAATTTTCTCTAGGCGTGGTATAGAAAAAAACCGTCGAAGGTGTGTTGCATGTGGACAAAGCCAAACCAACCAAAAGTAATCTCTAGCAGCTTGATGTTTTCGTTCTACGTCAAAATTTTAAAAAAGTTTTACAAGAATAGTGACACAGAACGTAATACGGCAATCAGTTGACTTCTGTCCAGATATTATTAGACTGATCCCAGAAATGTCGAAATGGTTTAAATGCCAGCAGAGAAGGACCAACTAGGATACGGAAAACAAAGGATGACTGTTTTGTATGTATGTATGGTGATGGCATGGGTTATCAAGTTTTAAGATTGCTTCCTTACCATTATATATTTAATGCCATAGTATTGGTGACGGCTCAGTGCAAAATATTTTTTATTAAAAATGTTTTAGAAGGCAGCTATTCAAACAGTTATCAAAGAAAATTGGATCAATTGTATAAAGACACAAAGAAAATATAATATATTAATAATATAATTATAATATATATATATATATATATATATATATATATATATATATATATATATATATATATATATATATATATATATATATATATATATATATATATATATATATATATATATATATATATATATATATATATATATATATATATATATATCGCCCGATCGTAGTTGCGATGTCCCCGTTGGCTGCTGCGCATCGCTCTGCTGTTTGATTATCGTTCTCCACGTGTTGGATAAATGCAGAGCGTCGTCTCTCGTATTGAGGTGTCCGGACTTTTCTATTCTTTCTTTCCGATACAGAAGTCAGCGTACTGAATAAAGGATTTAACTATGCAATAGCTCCAAAAAGAGTACCCGTCGAAGAGATCGTTTCCAACGTCGAAGCAAGTCTTTCCACCATAGACGAACAAGATGCGGAGTTAATTAGGCAAGATGTCGCCAGAGTCTTAAGACAGTCAAAACCACCGCAACCAAACTTAAGCAGAGAAGAAATGCAAGCCTTAAGGAATCTAAACAAAAACGAAAACATTCTAATAATGGCAGCAGACAAAGGAAATGCCACTGTCGTCATGAATACGTCGGATTATAATGCAAAATTGGAGGATATTTTGAACGATCCAATATACAAACTAGTCACCAGAGATCCCACGACATATTTGGAAAAAACAACTAAGTCTAAAATTCTCGATTCATCAATAAACGAGGATACAAAGAAGAAACTTATTCCGAGGGAAAAATCGAGTCGTTGCCCAAAATTCTACGGGCTCCCAAAGATCCATAAGGACGGGGTTCCCCTGCGTCCAATCGTAAGCGCCTTTAACTCACCATTATGCAAGCTGGAAAAACATCTGGCCAGTGCACTTCAGCCTATAGTGGAAAAGGCAGATTCCTATGTTAAAAACTCAGAACATTTCACTCAGATCTTAGGTTCTCTCAGGATGGACAAGGACGACATTATGGCAAGTTTCGATGTCAAATCCCTCTACCCGAGTATTCCAGTAGAAGAGGCACTCTTGCTTATAGAAGAAAACGAAGATCTTCCGCCATACATAATGGATCTGTCAAGACATTGCCTGAAAAACGCTTACTTTATGCACAACGGGAAAATTTACCGACAAATAGATGGAGCAGCAATGGGATCATCTCTCTCACCTGTGATTGCTAACCTCTTCATGATTTACTTCGAAAAGAAAGCAATAGAGAAGGCAAATCTGAAGCCAAAACTATGGACAAGATACGTTGATGACGTATTTGTTGTATGGCCTTTTGGCAAGGAGGAGCTTTTGAAATTCCTAGATCATCTGAATTCCATTCACCCAAGGATTCAATTTACAATAGAACTTGAAGAGGATAACAGTCTGGCCTTTTTAGATGTGCACATCACAAGGACCGAAGATGGACACTTGGAACACACTGTCTATAGAAAACCAACACACACTAATAGATATCTGAACGCTAAATCTCATCACCACCCATCACAGATACAGGCAGTGGCAAATACATTAATTGCTCGGTCCTTCAGGCTCACAAACGAGAGGAACAGAGATAAAGAACTGAAGAAAATTAGTACCTGTCTTCGACAAAACGGATACCAAAGGCGCACCATCGGCAAGGCAATCAGTAAACAACAACAGCCGCAGCAGAGAGTGCAGGACGAGACCCAACGAAGATCGATCGCTGTCCTGCCATACATCAAGGGGGTTACTGACAAAATCGGCCGAATATTACGGAAACACGACATATCAACGGCATACAAACCTGACCAAAACAAAAAATTACTTTGGAAAACCAAGGAGTATACAGTGTAGCATGCGGATCGTGCAGCCTGACGTACGTGGGACAGACCAACAGAAGGATTTCAGCCAGGCTCGAGGAACATCGTTTAGCCATAAGAAACAAACAAACAACATCTGCTTTGTTTCAGCACCAACATCAGACAGGCCATAAAATACTCGTCATGGATCATCTGTCCTCCAATTGCCTATTGTATATACATAAAATACATACATAAATAGGCCATCGAAATAGAAAAGTCCGGACACCTCAATACGAGAGACGACGCTCTGCATTTATCCAACACGTGGAGAACGATAATCAAACAGCAGAGCGATGCGCAGCAGCCAACGGGGACATCGCAACTACGATCGGGCGAAATTAACAACGCGACAATTCAGGGGGCGGAGGCACCTCCCCCCACGCACAAGCAGCACCGTTACCATCTCCGGCGTAGAGTATAAATACCGCACGCACCGCCGATAACCTCCCAGTGTTCGAAGTGTTTTCGGAGCGCGAGCATTGAAGATGCCAAGTGAGATTTTGGCGAAACGTCTGCAGGATTCCAGTCGGATGCAGGATTTGCAGGATTCCAGTCGGATGCAGGATTTGCAGGATTCCAGTCGGATGCAGGATTCCAGTCGGAGTTCAACGAGCGAACGGATGATATCCCGGAGTATAGTGTCATTATATATATATATATATATATATATATATATATATATATATATATATATATATATATATATATATATATATATATATATATATATATATATATATATATATATATATATATATATATATATATATATATATATATATATATATATATATATATATATATATATATATATATATATATATATATATATATATATATATATATATATATATATATATATATATATATATATATATATATATATATACCACCATTGTTGTTAATGTTGTTATTAATGTAGTAGCAGTTCCAAGTTCATATATGATATTCAACGAATCCCAGCCTTATTTCCCAGAGACTTTCGTAAGAGTGTTAACTTTTGTCAGACCAAGAAATACTATTTACAGATAAAGCTAACTTTTTCAGAAATGCAATCAGAAATTTCCGCAGTAACCATATTTCTTTTCACTAAAAAATAAAAACTATTATCTATGCATGCTGTCATATTTTTCTTTAAACGAAAACCGTATATCGGGTTGAAAAAAATAAAAAAAATTCTTTGGAAACGATTGGAGAATAAACTTTGTTTTAAGAGAACTGAGTGGCGTACCATCAATGTCTGCCAAATAGGTGAAAAAAATTCCTGTACACTAAATAATGCCTCTTGATATATAGTACATGTGTGCCATATTTCATTAAAATATCTAAAATGGTATTGCACATATTGAAAAAATATATTTTATTTTACAAAATTTTACCACCCTGTATCTCGACAGTTCTTATGAAGGTTTTTTTTTTAAATAGACCCAAAAAGTTATTGACATTCAATTGGAAAGCACCCTGGATATAAGTGTAGATAGATGTCATTAAACTAATTAAATTAATAAAGACACTTCTATGCAAACATGATCCTTTTCGTTCGCCACTTCGTATCAATACTCGTCATGGATCATCTGTCCTCCAATTGCCTATTGTATATACATAAAATACATACATAAATAGGCCATCGAAATAGAAAAGTCCGGACACCTCAATACGAGAGACGACGCTCTGCATTTATTCAACACGTGGAGAACGATAATCAAACAGCAGAGCGATGCGCAGCAGCCAACGGGGACATCGCAACTACGATCGGGCGAAATTAACAACGCGACAATTCAGGGCGCGGAGCCACCTCCCCCACGCACAAGCAGCACCGTTACCATCTCCAGCGCAGAGTATAAATACCGCACGCACCGCCGATAACCTCCCAGTTTTCGAAGTGTTTTCGGAGCGCGAGAATTGAAGATGCCAAGTGAGATTTTGGCGAAACGTCTGCAGGATTCCAGTCGGATGCAGGATTTGCAGGATTCCAGTCGGATGCAGGATTCCAGTCGGAGTTCAACGAGCGAGCGGATGATATCCCGGAATATAGTGTCATCATATATATATATATATATATATATATATATATATATATATATATATATATATATATATTTTATATTTCACTTTTCAAAAATAACTTTTTAAAAAATATATTTACTAACTTTAAATTAAAATAAAAATCAAAATGAAATTGGACGTAATAACCTCGTGACGAGAGAATGTTATTAGACCGTTAAAATACAAGTAAAAATGGACATAATAACCTCGTGATGAGAGAATGTTATCAGACAACGTGTTACAATAGAAATTGGTATTTATAATAAATTTATGCTGACGTTGACGGGGTCGACGGCTGCGGATTTTGCGACATATCGTTGACACGACGTTTTCGCAATCGTTGCACTCTTGCAGGTCGGTGGCATTTAACCCATATGGACAATAGGATTTCCGGATATAACAGCTCCCCCATTAAGTGAAAAGGTGGAGCCTAGCAGCAGCTTTTCGTAGACTAATTAAAGCGTAGCTTCTCGGGTAGTTACTTCTGGGTGGATGCTAGTCCGTCTTTTCGGAGTTAGTGATTTGAGTTGCATCGGGAGCAGGGGTCTTCGACTTGGCTTCGGAGGT